TTCAGGTTTTCTCTGTGGGTCTTTGGGCTGTGACCATAGCAAGAATGGCTGCTAACCATTCCTTGGCTTGCTCTACACAAAGCAAGGTTTTCTCTGGAGTCCCAAGCCAAATGTTTCCCTTTTTTCCTGCTGTTCTGCACTCTGTTATGTATTTGGCTGTGCTCTCTGTCCCAGAGGTGTCTATGTTCTGGTGGTATTAGGTATGAAGAGATTGTCAGGTTCCCTGGGATCTTCCTTGCTGAAAGGAACGATGGAAATGATCTTTTTTTCTCTGAAGCTGTCTGTCAGAAGACTGATGCCATGTGCCAGCTTGTGGCTAGAAGGCAGTAATTTGAGGCCAGCAAATACTCATCTATGTAATGCTTGTATGTATGATACAGAAATAGTATTATTCATATACAGTGTGTGCATTTGTGTGTAGCTACTGAACTAATCGGGTGCAGACAGCTCCAGCAGGATCCGAGCACATCTCCAGGCTCCCCTGGGTTCAGTGTTCTGCCTCTGAAGGGGTCAATGCCAAATGTTTCCTTTGAATTAAATACTCTTGGTACATGCTCAAAACCCAGTCAATGCTCCCTAAGAGAGTCCCTAGGCTATTAAAAAGTACTGTCTGCCCACCTACATGTGTGATCTCAGAGTACTGAGCACTTCCAGTCCCTTCTGCAATGACACAATTCCTGTTTACACTCTTGCTGAAGACCCCTGGCTTACTCAATAAGAAGGTTTGACCACAGAGATGAATTATATACATCATTTAGGGGAAAAGAAAAATCAGTTTGCTTAGAAAAACGTTAGTTTGTAAGGTTTGCAGTCCTGAAGAGTTTTGGGAAGTGACTTAGTGCATCCTGAGCAATCAGAAAACTGTGTTATTGTCATTATGGCGTTGGGAGGCGTCTTTTAGTAGCAAAAACCAAAAAGGGAGACCACGGCCAAAGCAGTTGTACTGACAAAACCTGCATACTCTGAGCATTAATGATACTCCCAACAATAATTCCCAGCAAGACATGATGGCTTAACCATCACACCAGCTTGCAGCTCTGTTGGTCAAAACAGCCTCCAGTCTTCTCCTTTTTTCCAGTACAATTCAGTTAATTATTCCCAGGTCTCCCGACAAGTCTGAGCTCCTGCTGGCTGCTGGAGCAATAGGAGCCTATTGTTGCAAATTTGCTTAATCCAGTGTTAGAACTCTTTATTGTCCAGAACAGAAAATGGCATGAATAGTTAAGGAAAAAATGTGAGCTGTTTCCTGTAGGGTTTTAAAAACCCTCTGGGGGTGTGATTACAACATATGCTGGGGAACAGTGCTGAGCAGGGTGGTGGTGGGGAGAAGAGGCTCTGGCAGCATTGACCACCCCATCTGTAAGGCTCGTTACAGCGAGCTGCTGGGGAGGAAGGGGAGAATGGGAGAGCTCTTCTTCATCCCAACATGCCACTGTTTTCCAGCCCCTTGGCCTTCCAATCTGTCACAGTTTGTCTTTGCAGGCTTAAGTGAGAGGTAAAGCAAAACGGACTGAGGGCTGATACAATTGTAGACCCTTTGCTTGGCCTCCTGCCCTCATGTAAAAAGCATTTTAGTTCCAGGTGTCTTAGTTCTCCTCAGACAGGATCATGCTGACACAAGGTCTCAGGCATCTTGGAAGGGGTGGGATTACCCATGTGGGGCCTGGGAGCGTGGAACATTTGACAGTGCTGCGACCTTTCTAGCGATACAAATCAGCTTGTCAAAACTCAGGAAGCCACTGGGAAGTTCTGGACTGTATTTGAAATGAAGGACAGTTCAGGGTGTTCTTGTAGCCCTGTCTCTGGAGAGACCGTGGAGCTATATTGTGGCTTTGCCACCAGCCTGTTAACTGGCCTCATCTCTTGCTGTTCCTTTCACATCTGTAGTGAAACTGAACTGTGATGTTCTTACTGTGCACTTACTTTGTCTTTGTTGCAGGACTATAGTTGTTGGATAATTTCTTCTCTTGTAAAAGTCCAGCTTTTCTTGCTGATGCTCCTCAAGAGTTCTTACAACATTGTGTGCTGTTCTCTCAGCCAGCGTGGGCAGGATATGGCACTTCCAGGAAGATCCTTGCAGTGGTGGTAAGGCTGCCCAGACAATATGTAGTATCACTTAGTTTAGATGAATATGGATGTGCTTTTCCCTGCCAGTGTCTGTCAGGGAAGGCTCCCCTTCTTCAGAGAAGCAAGATGGTTTAGTTATTACAGTGCTGGCAGGATTTTTGGGCTTCCAGGTTCAATTTGCTTGCATGGTGTGACCAAGCAGAAGCTGCTGAGCTTGTGAATGACTCAGTTCCATGTCTGTGGAGAGGATTTTTTCTTCCTCAGGAGTAGTGTGGCAATGACAAGTCAGGCCATTCAGCTCTCTCATGGCTTCTCCAAGTGGTTTATCTTGTTGGGAGTCTCAACAGAAAGACCAAGAAACAAAAACCTTGTGGGCGAGGACCTGCTTCTGGTTCTTATTGAGAGCTCCCTAGGACAGGTCCAGAGGCGCAGAGAATCTGTCCTGGTGATACACAGACATTTTCAGACTAGCACCTTTCTTTTCCCCTGCCCCAGTAGTCACTAAATTACATGGAAGAAAGAAGAAAGCCAAAGGAGGTAGTAAAGGCATTAGGTGTCAGTTCCTTGTGATGTGTCTGTTACAAGTGTCTCCTACTTGTGTTGGCTGTTCAACAGCAAAAATGTTGGAAAAACCCTACTCAGCTTGCACTGGTTCTCATTACTTTTTGGTTGAGGGTTAGGAGCTCAGAATGAAACAAAGAGTTTGAATGTGTTCTGGGCTCCTCTGTCTTTCTGTAGGATTCCTCCCCCAGAATCTGGAAGGCAGCTCCATGCCTTGTTTGAGAAACCATTTTGCAGCTATTTTTGTATATTAACGTGATGGTGTTTGTGTTCTGCTCTGTTCAAAGCTCTAAGAAAATGTTCAGGGTGAAAACTGATGTTCCCTCAAAAGCCAGCTTCTCACATGTGGTAAATATGAAAGTCATCACATTCCTAATAGTGGTGGAGGAGTGAGCAGGAAAGTTCACCCTTCTGAGACTCTCATCTTCCTTCCAGGAAGGCCCCACTTGCTGTGGTGGAAGACAGCAGCTTCCTCCCAGGAGATGTCCTTGTTACAGCATGCCTCTTGCTGTGACAGGATGGCCATGGCCCAGTGTTGTCACTCTGCCTATTGCCACAGTGAGTTGTGTGACGTTTTTTTAGCTCATATAAATGGCTTTGCTGACATGAGTTAAATGCCATCAGCAGGACAGGGAACACCAAGAATGAAGTTAGCATAATGCACAATGGAGCCATTCCATTTGTTTTGCCAGCTCCATTCTCTGTCACTGCAGTTTGCCATTGACTGAATGAAAACCCCATTTGAAGCACTGATAAAAGGTCTCCCATGCCCTCCAGTTCTTGCTTTCATGAGGAATTCAAAGTTAGAGACATAAACCAGACTGCAGCAAGCCGTAACTCTTCAAACATGTAAGAAACCACAACCTGGAATGGATTATTCCATCTTGCAATGGCTGAAGTGAACAGGGGTGTTCTTACCTGTTTTGAGCTGCTGGGTTATGTGTGTAACATCTTCATTGCTCTTGGTGTCCATGCCAAATAATGAACCTGCTTCCATAAAACTGGTGCTGTTCTTTATGTTATTTAGTTAGTATCTAAACTTTGTTACTTCAGGACTGCAAATAGCTCTAAGCAGATCCTTTAGGAATCCTGTTTGTTGAGGTTGTGTTTTAGCAACGGATGAATAAGTATTTGTACATAATCAGGCCATAAAATCGTGTTTTGCAAACTTTTGAAAATAGGTTTTTGTTTCATTTGGAAGCATCTAATAGAAAGGTAGGAGGATGCTGAAGCTGGGCCTCACACTTCAGTGCCTCTCCTTCTTACTGTGTACCTTTGGAGTTTGTAAATGTTAGACAGTAGCATTCAAAATAATGCTGCTGATGTATTTGGGCTTCTCACTGATTCACTCGGGGTGAAATGTGTCGGGTTGGTCCAACTCCAGTTGTAATCCAGCAGTTCACACAACAGGCAATGCATCTTCTGAGTCATGGGTAGTTTATGCATGGTGACAGTTAACAAAAATACTGACTGATGAAGATTCAGTTGAGACTTCAAGTGTGCAATGACTATGATCATTTTTCATCTCCACCTTTCTGTATTGCTGCAGACATCACCAGGCTCTTTTGCACAAGTATGGAATTGAAATGCAAGTTTTCAAGTATCTAGTGCTCGTTCAAAGAAGGGACTAATCTGCTCTTTGAGTCCATGGGGAATAAGAGAAGAAGAAACGGGCTTAAATAACATCCCTTGGAAACATTTTCACAGTGGGGATATAGAGCATTGGAAGGCTGCCTGGGGTGACTGTGGAGTCTCTGTCACTGGAAGAGTTTTAGAGGAGGGTAGAGATATCTTTGTGAGGAGTGCATCGGTACTATTGATCCTGTATTGGGGGCAAAAGGAGGAGATGCTTCTTGAAACCATCTTTTGTATAATTTGGTTTATTATGACCATAAATATATAAGAAACACTGTAAACTACTCGGCATACCATTGAGGAGGGTGTAGATGTTTTTCACTTATTTTTAGCACTTGACCTTACAAGACTGAAAAATAACTTTTTCCTTCTGACTTTTGTCCTCTGCTTGGCAAAGATTAGTTAAAAACACAGAGATGGAAAATATTTAAACTTTAAACTAGGATGAGCTTTTCTTTTTGTTGTTTGTTTGTGTGCTGCTTCATTTGTGATGTCAACTCCAGTCAGGAAAAAAAGGTGTAACTAACCTTGGCACCGCGGTTCTAAAGCGCTTCCACACTGATGCCCAAACAAACACTATCTGCTAGTCACTTCTTTTTTAATCAGTAATGCTTAAGAAGTTATAGACAAACCTGAAAGCCGTTTCCCCATCAGATAATAAGAAATTCAAATATATCAGCTCCTTTTGAATTTGTCTTTTTTTAAACAGAAACAGGCACCCAGAAATAGCCAACCCACTAGCAAACACTTTCTGATCTGCTACTACGTGTTTAAGCTGTGTCAAAGTGGTGATTTACAAGCATTTCTAGCCCTCAGATCTGAATACAGAAAGGTATAAAATGAGTCCAAGGAAAATAAAGGTAGGAATGACCTCAGTCTGTGGAGACACCATGTCTTGCTTAGCTCAAGGAAGCTCTGGAGAAACAAGATACATTTATTTGTAGTTATTTTGCTACTGTCAATGAATAGAAAAGATCCCAGAAGCTGTTGCAGACTGAAGAGAAATGGCTTTGGGTTTCTAGAAGAATGCCAAGACGTATTGATCACTGCCTTAGTATGCAGAAAACTTACTTGTTCAAATATTTAAAGTTAGCGTAATGCAGGTTTAATATGCTGTGCTTCATTTCATTTAGAATAAGTGAGCAACAAGCACTGTTGTGTCACTGTGCTGTTCTACACTAATTGTTGCTGAGGGCAATGAAGGTCATTTCTCAGCCTGACTTTACTCTTCTAAGTACATACTCACTAAGTGCATCTTCTAAGTACATACTCACAGTTTTCCATTTGGGCTGGAACACCCCAGCTAGCTGCAGAGTTACTTACACATAACACGTGCTCCTTGTGAGCCAGGTCAGTATAGTCTCCAGTCTGCCAATAACTTCATTATTAGTGACTCTCTTGCAGAGGATAACAGAGGTAGGAATGTCCCTGCAAGATGTCCACATTGTCCAAGTTCTCTTTTTCTCTTCCCTGTGAAGAGATCCAGGTTCACTGCTGGTAGCCCTGAATATTCCAAATACTTTGGTGACTTGCAGCTTGTCCACGCAAGGTGTTCTTCACAAGAGAGGGGGTCACTCTTTCTTTTGTCCTTTGCAGTGACTCCAGGAGCTTGGAAGATTTCTTCTTTATAATGTCAATTATTTGAGTTTCTTCAGTCCATAGTAAAACTATGAAAGAAAATTACCTAACATCTCTATAACATGGTTTTGATGAGTTAATCTGGATGTCAAATGATAGACATATTAGAAAATACAGTGAATTTTACATATAACATGATCACCATGTTTAATATTATAAAAGGGCATGTTGTGGGCAGCTGAAAGTGTTCAGAAGAACGTGAAGCTGTGTACAGAGGAAGCAGGACTTTTCCTAATAGTCTTCAAGACTTCCTGGATCCCTTGCTGGCTGGGGTCACACTGCTTTACAAGCCAATGTCACACACTCTCAGAAATTATTTCAAAGGGTTTTTTCATGCGGCTTTGTTTGGTTTTATGTCCTGCTATCACTGGGTAATATTTTGCATAGATAGCAGAAAATGTCATTACTGCTCATACCTATTTTATTTGCCTTGTACTGAATAGTTCCTTTTCCATTTCTCTTTGTAGTACCAGGACGTTGATTGTCTCATCGTTCTACATACACATTTATTTCTCCATACAAAGCAAATCTGACGTCAGCTGGTTCCAAGGTGATCTCACAAGTGACCCTTGTCCACTCTTCATTCCATGTGAGTTACATCGCTTTCTTTCTGGAGTTTTATGACTTCTCCCCAGTTGAAAAAAACAGATTTTTTTCTGAATAGTTGGCTAGAACCTGCCTCTATTAATGACCCATCAGGCTTCCGTTGAAATAATGTGTTTTTCCCTTAAAACTCTCCACTGCCATAACAGGTCCTAACAGGCTTCCCTGCTTGGCATCTAGCAGGGTCCTGGAGTGAGCAGCCTGCAGAGACTGATGCCTCTCCCCTCTGGACAGCAGCATCCTCAGACATGAGCTGGACAGACAGCAGCTAACAGTGTTACAGGGGAGAGACTGTCTCTGTAGGATGTGTGATGGGGCATTTTCATTCACTCCCCATTTGTTGCTATAAAATAAAACTGTAAATAATTCCCAGAACATTGCTGGGAAAATGAGTAGATTTTATCTCTAATAATCAATTGCCATGGTTTGAATTTGTCTAGAAGCACCCAGAAATGCTAAAACCTGGAAAATTCCATAGGTCGGAGTTCCCTCCGAGCCACTTCAGCTCACCACAACTATCAAACCCTCAAAGCCGATTTACCTGTGGGTTGACAGCAGAAAGTCACTTGCTGTGTGTGACATGAGATGGCACATGTGCCAGACAAGCAGAATCATACCAGTGCCACCAAGGCAACACATGCAAATCAACTTTATTTTCAGTATAAATTGGCTCGGTGCAAGAAATGTAAAATCTGTCAGCTGCAGCATTCCTGTGATACAAACCTAATAACATTTACTTGCTTACTTTAGTGACCATCCACACCCCCAGTGCCTGCAGGGCTGCTCCCAGTTACCTTCATCAACTGTGCCCAGCCGCAGGGATGGGAAGGTTTTCCTGAACATGGGAGGTCTGAGGTCAAACCGAGAAAACAAATCTGTGTGTAAATAGCCACGATCCTGCTGCTGTAGCACTTGAGAGACTGAGCTACTGTTTTCTGGGGCTTTCCTGACTGTGTCCCCAAGGGTGTTGTGTGATCAACGTACTGACAGATCTCCCAGTCAAGCAGCGGGAATGTGTGATCAGGAATTTCACTGCTTTTCAGACCAACCTTTTCTACAGGTCACAGTTTTAACGTGTGATTTCCTTGAGGTAGTAGCTTTAAGGTTTTTGGGGGGCTGATTTTCTTTGGCTGCTGTAGATGGATTTCTCAATCTGCTCTGTGTCCTCTGATGGAAAATAATGGATCGAGGCTCCTTGCTTTACTGACATGAAACAGCGAAGTCTACCTTCCTTCCATACCATCACTTCTGCATTGCATCCTTCCCTTAGGTGGAGGCAATAAGAACATCAGCCTTCCAGGGCTAGTACATTTGCCCAGTCCCTCTCCAAAATAGGATGTTATAGCTCCTCTTTGGAGTTGGAAGATGACTCAATAGTCCTATCCCAAGTGAGTGGTGAAACCGTCTTTTGGGAGTTAAAAGAGTCTTTTCTGAAGCTATAGTGAAGTCCAGATGTCTCATAGCTGTTGTGATCTTGTGAGCAGTTTTAGGAGGAAAGTCTGTGAGGGATACAGCTATGAATCATCTGTCTATCCTGTGTCCATGAAGAAGAAATAAAAACCCCAATCCAAAAAGAATCCATTTAATTCTGGAATTTTCTGACCTATTTTGGTGCAAGCTGGGCTAAAAAAAAAAACCCTCAAGCTCCTGTGCTGATGAGTTTCTCATATTGTTTACTCCTGTAACATTCCCTGTGCACTGCCAGCCAGGAATGACGTCCACCCCTCGTCCAGCATCAGAGAATAAGAACTTCAGAGGAAGGAATGCAACTTCATAAATAGCAGACCACAGACACTAATGGGGAGCAGAGGCAAACCTGCAGGTTAAGATTCTTTGCAAAAGAAGCCCATAGATCCACACTGCCTGGAGATTCAGAGATGATTTCAGCTCTAGCCTTCGTTTTCCTCCTCTGCATCTCTTGCCCTTTTTCATCATGTCAGCAGCGAAGGGCTGGTAAGTCATTTTCATGATTTCTGTATTTGCTGGACTCGTATGTTTTCTAGACTCCCATGAAAAGTATGTTTTGCAGAAGGGAATGAGGGAGAAGGTAACATTCAACTGCATCCACTGAAGCCTGAAAACGATGTTTAGGGATTTTGTAGTTTCGTATGAAACTTGAAGCTGAACTGTGTAAATGTTCAGTCTCCGATCTTTCCCCCGTTCCCTTCCAGAGCAGGGAAGTTGTTTTTTAAGAAAAACATTTATTCAAGGGCAGCTGGAAATTTTGGTGTGTTTTGTAATGACCTAAAAAAGGCACTTTCTATAAATCTGCATTTTACATGTGATTTGAGTTAAAAATCAGGTCATACAGAATGTCCTATAGCAGGATCCTTAGATATCCTCTCTGCTTGTGCACGCAGAGCTCAGGGAAGCCCTGACTTCCAGGAATGTAGTTCATTACAATAGGGGGATGCTCAGCTCAAAGAGGATATGGGAGATCTGGCAGCCTCAGGCTGTGTACCAGAGATTCAGATGTGTGCTTGTGGAGACAGAATGAGTCCATGCAGAAGGATGCATAGCAATGGGAATGTCTGCAAGTGCCTAGATTTCCTTTGGGATTTGCTCCTGGGCAGTTGAATCATTATTGTGAATTTGGACATTAAAAAACACCAGACTTTTCTTTTAAATGACATCTTGCTACAAGGGATGGAAAATTCTGCCCAGGAATAACGGCAGCTGCCTGCAGGCTTCCTGCAGAGCTTATTCAAAACCTCTGGAGTTAGAAATCATGTGCAAGCTCCTTGTTTTCAATAAAATAAGAAAACATGACTTGAATTCAGTCCTTCTGTCTTAGAACATCACATTTGTGGTACTTTCAATTTAGTTCCCAAACCAAAATGTATTGGAGAGGTTGCGAATACTAACAGAATCCTCTTGGTTCTTTGTGGGGTAGACCTGTGAGGCTTCCAGGCTTGCTTGTCACAGAGAATGCCAGAGTTGTGCTAAGCACAGGCTCACACCCTGCCTGTGGCACCGGCAAACTCCTCATGCTGAAGGAGGCAGCCCCCAAATCCAGCTGATTTTCCCCTGAACATGCAGTGGGAGATGTTGCTTTGTGTCTCTTCTTAACGGTTTGCTTATGCTGTAGGCAGGGTGTGACTTCTGTTAAAGGATTGGTTCATCTAGAAAAGCCAAAATGAGGTTGTGCTTTCTCGTGAGAGACAGGGAATAGCAGAGTCGAGCTTTGTGTCCACTTGGTTTCAAATGGTTCAAGTTTTCTTAAAACTGACATAGTTTTAGAAGCAATGAGCTGCTTCCATTCATTCCTCTTGAGCAAAGAGTATGGACTAGATACTGAGCATGTCCCAGAGGCCTGGGCAAGTGTAGAATCTAGCAGATGGGAGAATAAAGTCATGTTAATCTGCACTAAATGACCTTGTAAAATGATTTCTATCCTGTTCAGCATAGCTTAAACAGGATTTTGCAGTGTTGGATGAGCAGATGGATCCTCCATGTCCCAAACCCACTGCTGACCAATTTGAAACCGCCGCTACCCAAAAAGAGCCTGTCTCCAGCAAGGAAAAGTCTGTCCCTTGAGAACAAGAGAGGCAAGGGCTGACGTGCTGGTTTTCCACGTTCAGTGCTTGGCAGCACGTTTGGGATAGACTCAGCAAAGAGCCTTACTTCAGTGGTGCCCTTCATAGCAGCTTCCACAGCACTGAATTATTAATCTGCTGCTTTTGGCAGCAAAGCCTTTCTATGTGTGAACTGCAGAACCCGTGCCAGATAAGCAGCTACCACAACTGCCAGGCTGCCAGGCCAAGCTGTTTGCTGAGGGGTAGCTGTTTCCTACCTGCCAGGAATGGCTGATTATCACTGTCTGCCCCATCCAGAGTAAACTCTACCCTGTGTGCAGGTCTCTGTTAATTCCAACAAGCTTCTAGTTAGGAACGGCCAGAGACTGGTATGGAGGAGTCTGTATCTCCTCATATCTTAATAATATCTTGTATCTTAAGCTGAAGTTAATAATACCATTGATTTGGACTGCTAATGGCTCTTCTGTGTTTTTCCCAACCACTTTGGTATTTTTAGGAGGTGAAGTTGGGCCAGAAATGCTGGAAGAGATGAGAGAAACTAACCGTGTGCTAATGGAAGTGCGAGACTTGCTGAAACAGCAGGTAGGTGAGAAAGGGACCTGATCCCTCATGTTCAGAGAGATCTCTGAATCCTCTGCCTTATGTGCTGACTTCTGCAGCTGGGGGGGCTGCTTCTTGTCTGAAGTGAAATGAGCAATAGAATCATTGCACTGCAAACCGGAATCAAGAGGTGGTCTCACAATCAGATCAGTAACTGAGATAAAGTGGATTCATGTGAATTCCAAATTCTGCTGCTTAGAACCCTGTCTGCTGAGAACAGAAAGAACTCAAAAAAAACCCCAAAGCCACTCACACACAGTGGGTATGTATTTAACTGGAAAAACAAGTCACTTTTTCCTTGGTTTTGTGGGCTCATGAAATCAGTTAGAGTCCAAACTTGGAAGATGGAAGAGACCTTTCAGCCATCTATTAGGGTCCTGGAAAGGGAAGTCATATGGAGTCTAAACAAGCGCTGTATTCACTCTTTCCTCTTGTTGTTTTAATCCTAAGCTTTTCTGGCTCTGGTAGTTTCTTAGGGAATTTGGAACTTCTTGGGTGCTTAGATCTTTTCCCATTTTAGCGAGGAGATGGTGGTTTGCCTGGTCAACTCCCTTTTAAGCATAGAAAAAGGTTCCATTCTCCCTTTCCCCACTGTGGGAGCTGAGGGCAGCAGCCTCTGCCTGCCAGAGGACTGGAATGGCAGACAGGTCCCTGTGCCAGTGCAAACTGGGCGGCCTCTGATCTGCAAAACCATCTGTTGCGTCGAGCTCCCCTCACATCTCAGGCTGCCGCATAAATAGCCAGTGTTTACTAGGAACCAGGTCAGACATGGTTCCTGGCAGCCTCGAGCAACGATTTCCAGTGTTCCCTTCCAGCTCAGCCCTGCCTCACCATACAGGTTTTCTGTTTGTTCTTTCTCTCACCCTGCCACTACTTGGGGTTTTTTTTTCATCCATGGCTTTTCTCAACAGTGCTTTCATGAAAACTTCATAGGCAAAACTTGCAAATACAACTGGAGAGCCAAGGGGGCAGTTCATCACTGCTTAATCTGTGCAAGGATTTTCTATAGCTTACTTTTCCTTGATTCAGCATTTTGGGGTGTTGGCAATAAGGATGGCAACAGGCCTGACAACGAAAGGTCAGATCTACTCTCCTGAGCCAAAGGCTGAAGTATTATTGGCACAAAGGAGCCACTGATACTCATTAGTAGTGCTCCAAATCCTCCACTCTGCTCTGTCACCCTCTTCTAATGGGAGATGTTCTGGGGATTTGGGTTAGATCTCTCTCTGCATTAACTATTCAAAATACAGGATCCCAGGCCATGTTGGAAAGAAGAGAGCATCTAGCGTAGGATGAAACTTGCTCTTACACCTGGGAGCTGGCAGAGACATGGGCTTTTGTCAGAGTGAAATGATGTCCACCAGGTATGAAAGGCTGGTCCTGAGCATCAGTTGCAGACAGTGAGGCTTTGCAGGAGAGAAGTCTGCTGGGATTGGTCTCTGAGATACTGGAGAATCTATAAACATGAGCTTGGGACTGACATGCTTACTTCTGTCTCTCCATAACCCAGGTGAGGAAGACTGAAGGGAGGAGCTTTTATGAACAGATTATAAACATCCTCAAGGCAAGGGCATTAGGGACAAAGAATGGCAAAAGCAATGTCAGAGATTATTCAGATATCTGCAAAGATGGCTCATGGGAGCCTCCCTCTGAGCTTTCCTTACACAGTCTGGGCTGCAGGTCAAGCAGACCTCTCTTGGACTCTAGTTCAGCATCTTTTACAGTAGAAGACCCAAATAAAGTAGATTTCTCTTTCTCTCTGACACTTGTTTGTGTGTATTCAAGTGTCTCCTGCATCTGTGATAGAATAGTATTACTGAGTTAGCCTGGAGAAATACTACAGCAGGGAGTGACTTGCAGCAGGGAGCACAAGGCACCTCAGGTTCCAGAAAGTCTGCAACGTAGACTTTGGGTACCCAGAGTTACTTTGTCAGTAGCTGTGCAGTCTCAGAGACACCCTGGATTTGGCAATGGGGCTTACAAGTTTGTGGGGGAGCAAAACTCACCCTTTGGCTAAGTGATGGTTCTTGTTTTCTTCTAGATTAAGGAGATAACATTCCTGAAGAATACAGTCATGGAGTGTGATGCCTGTGGTGAGTTAGTGAGCTGAGTCCTATGTTCAACTATCTCCTCAGTCCTTCATACCTTTGTGTGCAAACAAGTACTAAAAAGCTACCTGTGACTGTGTCCCCAAAGGAAGTGGCTTGTTTCACAATTACCTGAGTGTCACAGGGTAATACTCAATATTAGTGATGCTTTTTTCCCCCTACAGCATTCTGCACACATGGACCAGTGTTCCATGCTGCTCTCATGTTCCATGGCAGCTGAAGCTATTACCCCTTTCCTGAGCAGAAGTAGCCTTAAAAAGCTGAATCTTTCCTTCCAGCAACCCCCCAGCATTTGCTTACTTGCACTGTTTCTGAAATCAGCTTTATTGGTGGCTCTGTGACACACCATGCTGGACTTCTCAGGGTAGCTACATGCTGGTGCAGAAAGGTGCCCAAGCACATCTCCTCATAACCCAACCTATGGCCCATGTTCGAATTGCCTGGGAATGCACACTGGGTATCCTGTGGGATACAGCTGGCTACTCCTGAGCCACAGGTGGAAGAGATCAGCCCCAAGAGGTACTGCTTTGCTATTCCTTCCATCCTAGTGCTGCCACCATCCAAGCAAAGAGGTTGTTTACGCAGAGTTCAGGAAACAGGGTCATATTTTTGCCCATATAAATCTTGTCCTCTGCTCCCCAGTAAATGTTGTAGGGTTTTATTTCTAAACTGGAACTTACTTCCAGTATAACTAGCTTGCAGAAAGCATGGTTCTTGGAGGTGCTGTTACCTGCCAATAGACTCAAAGGGTGCAGCAATAACCATGTCTGCATTTGGAGAGATTGTTCTTCTGCTGGAATAGAGATTAGCCAAAGCTCCTGGGGCCTGCAGTACAGAACTGCATTCATCCACAGCAATTGTTTTAATAATTTGCTCATAAAACTGTCCTGAACTTTCTCTGTTACTTGATTTCTGCCTTCCCCACTTGCTAGTCTGTTTTATGTGTTCTTCTCCTGTACTCCTTACTGTAAAATTTGAGCCTCTTTTAGTCATGCAGTGAACAACGTGACTCCCAGCAGTCGTGTGCTTCTCATTATTGCTCAGAAAGAGAAACATGAAGAGAGGAAGCCTTGGGTTTAGTGAAGATTTTGCTGCTAGCAGTGGTAGAGTGTCGGCTTTTGTTCTGTTTTGTTTCAGGTTTTTCATGTTAGGCTTTTAAGCTGGAGAAAGTGGGAGCAAAAAGTGTCCTGCTACCACTTGGAGTAGTGGCTGTGGGAGACTTGTGACAATTCTCTTCACTGTCCTGAACTGGCCTTCAGTGAAGTTCTGTGTCCTGTACAGACTGATTCTGCAACTTCCCTAGTGCTGGGGCAGGTCATGAGGATAGAGACAAAAACCTGGCGTTTGGCCTCAACCTTTAAGGGAAGCTGGTGTGAGCAGTGTGGCACAGGCTGGATTTGTTCACAGTGCTTTGGAATAGGACTGCAGGAGCATTTATACGGGTTAGAATTTCCTACCCATCAAGCACAGTACGCCATGCTTAGATGGACCATATTGCTGTATTCCAGCCCAGAAGTGATGAATGGCTGAGTAACAGATTGATTTCCCATCTGCCAGGATTAAGGGAGGTTTCTTGCCTTGTGAAGACAACAGGTAGCGTGTTATGCATAACATTATGGCACAAAGCCTTATTGAGCCTGATGTGAGTATTTTCCTGCTACAGACCAAGCTGACCTGTTTAACATGCCTGCTTCTACAGCAGAGACTTTGGCTGACAGCCCTCCACAGTGCTTCCCAGAATTAAGCCTGTTTGGGCTCTGCTTTAGGCAGGTGCCTGAGTCCATAGCACCAGTGAGGAGTAGTTGTGAAGGAACCAAGGAGAAAACTGGTCTCTGTGGAACTCCAAAGCAAGGGCATTGCACCAACAACAAGAGATTTGGACTGGAGCTAAGGTTTCTGGGGTTTCTTATTTATTTTTTGTCTGCTCTGACTCAGGAATTTGTCAAACTGCTGCTTCTGGCTTCATTTGTTTCCATTTACAAAACAGCTACAACTGCTCGACCTCAGAAAGGATGTGAGGAAATGTCCTGTGTGTGAAGCACACTGATCCCTTTTGAGACAGTGGGACCACCTGATGCTAGTCCCTGGCGGTGACAGCTATGTTCTAACATTCCTCTTGTCCTCCAGGCATGCACACCGAGGCCACAGGCCCTGTCATCACCGTGACACAGTTTAACAGATGCCTCCCAAACTCCTGCTTCCCTGGCGTGGCCTGCACTGAGACCGGCACCGGCTTCCGCTGCGGACCCTGTCCCCCGGGTTATTCAGGCAATGGCACCCACTGCACAGACATCAATGAGGTAAAAACCCCAAGTGGGACAGGCTGGAGGGTATAAACCTGACTCACTTGGCTTGGAGTGTTGCAGGTTTGGTTTGTGGTTTATAAAGAAAAGTCTTGCAAATCCCCTCGGAGCTCCAGTTCAACAGAAACATCAGTTCGTGGGAAGGAAGTCTGTCTCAGCCTCCCTTGAGCTCTGTTCCATGTGGGTTTATATCCAGCTAGGGATTTCTTTCTAAAAGATACATAGGCTCCAACAAAATAAATCTTTTGGTTTGTACCACACAGGAGGGTGAGTTTGGAAGCCCTGAACAGTCCCTTTTGGCCTTACGATCTTTGAGCTAATGGCTGATGAGTTGTTAGAGATAAGATTTATTACGCGTGGAATAGAATCAAACACTTCCCAGATAGCTCCTTCTACAATAAATCTTACCACACTACTCTTAATGCTGTACTTCTGCCTTTAAATCAAACCTTGCTGGGCAGATACTGTTTGTTTTTTTTAGGAAGTGTGGCATTCCATCAAGTTTTCTTTCCCTGTCTGTGCAGAGCTTCACTCAACCGTTAATTTTGTGTGTACATAAGACTCCTTAGTTGTGTGGTTCCCAAATCCCAGTCCTACGCTCTCCGATTAGACCACCAAGCAACTGCAAGTGTCTTGCAAAACTGTATCACCTTTATACTGTTTCAGTTTAAAACCTGCTGAAAAGGGTCAATGAGAGTGATGATAATCTGTCGGTCACAAAACCATGGGAACCACTCTGCTAATGTGAATATGAAATAATGTGAAATGAAGCATTAATAGCAATTTTGGAAGACAATTGCTTCCCAGGGTAGTAAACAAACAACTGTTCTTGTCTGTCAAAACCAGTGTAAGAAATGATCCAGTTCTCTGGATTCAGAGACTGCCAGGAAGGAAAGTGTGAAGTGAAGCCAGCCCTTTGCCTGGGCAATTGATGTCACCAAAGAAGAATTAGTCCTGAAAGTTGGTTTGTTTTACTTGTCTGCACATTACTGGAACTTGGGGGAACAACGGAGCTGGGGAAGCTGCATTTTCCACTTGCAAGGAAAGCCAGGAACTTCTATGCGTTTTTGGTTTATTCTTTAAAAAGAAAAGTACAATAGGTGGCTCTCAGCCAGCAAGGCCTGTTTTGAGAGCTGGCTTCACAGCTGGCTCTGAGGGAGAGCTGTGGGCCTGCCTCACAGCTCTGCACCACCTCTCTTGTTTGCAGTGCAATGCAAACCCCTGCTTCCCGAAGGTCCAGTGCATTAACACCAGCCCTGGCTTCCGCTGTGATCCCTGCCCTCCTGGCTTCACCGGCCAGATGGTCGAAGGGGTTGGACTGGCCTATGCGAGAGCCAACAAACAGGTAAGGTCCGGAAACGTTTCTGTCTCCCTCAGAAGCCATTAACTCTTTCCCCTCTGTAACTGTCATTCAAAAGTCTTGGAGGGACATGCAAGGTGGCTGCATTGTGTTGGTGGAAAGACTGATGCAGTGAGAGGAGAGACTAGCCAAGGATGTCCTGGCACATCAGCAGTGAAGCAACCTCCACTCTAAGACCTGACTTCTGCTCAATCTATCCTGGACATAATGTTATGTCTGTGACACCTCTGGGGCTGTGAAGCCAGCCCAGGTAATCCTTCATGCAGGGACACAAAGAACTCATGCAGCTACTCCCCCTCTGCTTCCCCAACAGCTGTAGACAGGCTAAAGTAAAAACAACAACAAAACCTTATGGTTTATAAGCAGGAACAGCATGTGGCTCGTGTTATTTAGAGAGCTGCTAGCTGGTCACAGGATGCAGCCTTTGACCTTCTTGTTCCATTGACCCGCTTCTATCCTTTTACAGTAAGGAGATACTCTGCCAGCTCAGCTCAGAGCTAAGCTATTTTGCCAGGCTAAAATCTCTGGTGACTGTAGAGGGTGAGCAGCTCACCTGGGGGTCAGGAATATTGCTGGGATCTGCCTCAGGTTTGAGGAAAGCTTTGAGTAAGGTGTGTCAGAGGCTTTGCTTCTGCATCTAGTGATGCACTAATTCTGTAATCTGATGGGGGCTCTGCTCAGGAGTGAAGTGAATGTCTATTTTGTTCTTCCTGGGCAGGTTTGTACTGACATCAATGAATGCGAGACAGGCGCTGCCAGAAACTGTGTCCCCAACTCCATCTGCATCAACACACGGGTCAGTACTACCGAAAGCCTCATGTGGGTCTCTTCCCCAGGCTCTGGGGCCTCTGTTAGCTGTGGAAATCAGCTGCTGAGGAAGCAAAGGCTTGCCAGGACTCCTGTGGTTGTTAACTCCCTATCGCTCGTCCTTGCAGGGATCCTACAAGTGCGGGGCTTGTAAACCTGGCTTTGTTGGGGACCAAGTGAGTGGCTGCAGGAGCCAGTCAGTGAGACGCTGCCCTAATGGAGAGATCAGCCCGTGCCACGAGAAAGCAGAATGCATCGTGGAGCGCGACGGGTCCCTCTCCTGCGCGGTGAGATTCAAACCTCCCTGCGAGCAGCGCCTGCTCATTCCGCCTTCCCTTGCACTGGGCTTGCTCTGCTGGGTCTGCCACTGCCCTCTCCTGGAGAGCCTGCCCCGCACCGACCTGCTCTCCTTTAACACCTGAGCTGCTGCAGTGTCGCTTCCAGTGCTCCCTGGAGACGTGGACTGCTCCTGGCACCTCAGGTCCACTCCTGTGTGTTTGGGCTTTGGTTTTTGCCTTTGCCTGAAGTGCTACAAGTTTGTCAGTCATGGAGCATTACACACAGCTGAGCAGGGAGAAGCGCCCTGCAGCAACCTTCAGGAGCCAAGATGCTGCTGCATCTGTCTTTGTGATCTCAAGAACAAGCTGAGAGCTTGTATCTGAGCTATGTAAAATGCTGTTTACAGCATAAATGCTTATTGCAGGCAATATTTTTCCCATAGAGCACTGTGTACCTGGATTTGCAATGTTTCCAGCAGGTTCTCACGTGAAGCCTTCCATTTCAGAGGCACATGGCCATCAGGGCACTCGCTGCCAGCCTCATTTCGTTCATGTGCTGTCTTCCAGTGCCTCGTGGGGTGGGCAGGGAACGGCTACGTGTGCGGGAAGGACACGGACATTGATGGAGTCCCTGACGAGAAGCAACGCTGCTCAGACAAAAAGTGCCGCAAGGTACGATGCAGTTGTCTCGTGTAGCTGATAACAGGACACCAGAGGAATGCCTGAGCAGAACTGGGCCCTTCTGATGTGAGACCCTGCTCATCCTTCAGAAATCAGATTCCTAACAAGCCCTTTGTTGCTTTCCCTGCAGGATAACTGCATGACTGTCCCCAACTCCGGCCAAGAGGATGCTGACAGGGATGGAATTGGAGATGCTTGTGATGATGATGCCGATGGAGATGGGATATTAAATGCTGAGGTTTGAATTCTAATGCTTAAGCTCTGCCATACCTAAATAGACCCAAAGGTCTTGCACAGCAATTGCCTTCGCTTCTCTCTCTCACTTGGCCAAGTGTCTGTGTGACTCCTCAGTAGCATGCTCAGAGCCACACGTCCCCCTTCAGCCCACCCCTGTCCCCACAGGACAACTGCGTGTACACGCGCAACACGGACCAGCGCAACGCGGACAAGGACAACTTCGGTGACGCCTGTGACAACTGCCGCCAAGTGAAGAACAACGATCAGAAGGACATTGATGGTGATGGGAAGGGAGATGAGTGTGACGACGACATGGATGGAGATGGTAAGAACAGCAGGAGAGCACCCTCAGAGAGGTGCATATATCCTGATCTAAGGCCCAGAAAGCTGTGCAGCACACAGCTAGAGAGCCTCAGGGCAAGTGCCAGCCTTCAGAGGCTTGAGATCTACAGGAGCAGAACTAACTTCTGGTAGGATGAAGCACAGCTCAGTTTTTTAGCTGCCAAGTCAAGCCAACATCCTTCACAGTTCAGCTCTCGCAGGGTTTAACTATTTCTCATCAGGATGGTGCTAACAGCTTTTTATTAGCACTCTTATCATGCACAATCACATCAAACTTAGGCAAGACTTAGGCAAGAAGAAGATCTCGGGCCAGACAAGGACACTACTTGGTGATGTAATTTAAATGGAGGAAGAAGTGTGGGAATAGCCAGGTTGTTGGCAGCTACCAGCTCAAGGCAGTTTGTATCAGGGCTGTCTTCTGGGGTGAAAAAACATTAAAAGACTTTAGAAGCAGTGTGTGCACTGATGCTACTGTATTTGCACAAAGCCTGCTTTCAAAAGCCAGAAATCACAACTGCCCTGGCCTGAGGCACACGTTCTTATTTACAGAGTATTTCTGCACCTAGCACTGTTTGGGTCTGGCTGCATCCTGCTGGCATGATGCACTGCTGTAGTAGGTAGATGCAGAGAAGCAGGAAGTGAAGTCATTCAGGTTGCAATTAGATTGTTCCTGCCCTTGAAAAGGCCTCGTCTTAAACCTTCCAGGTCAAATGGCCAAGATTAACCTTGACTTATTTTCCAGTTACACAGATATGTGCTTTAGAGGGAAAGCCTCTGTCATGGTTTAGGGGACCACAGACAGCTTCAACTTCATGCTCTTGGCCCCTCACTCCTGTACAGATGTGATGCTGGTTTGGAGCCACATTCTTCAGTTCTTTAGCTTCCTCTGAGGAGCACAGTTTGGGACATTTCCTTTCAGGTCCATGTGCAGCAGCATGCTCAGACATCCAGCATGATGCAGCCTGGAGTGTTCTCAGATCAGCTGCTGCTGATCTTCATCCTCCAGAGCTGCCAGGATGTAACTGAAATTGTGTAAAACAGTTGCTTTATTACATGACTTCAGCTGTCCTCAGTTTTTGCCATCTCTTACATCCAAAAGAGATCTCGCTGCATAGAGCCTGACAGGCCTCTTGCCTTGATGGGTCCACTTTGCTTGTTTTACAGGGATCAAAAACCCCGTGGACAACTGTAAAAGAGTTCCTAACCCTGATCAGAAAGATGCCGATGGTGATGGAGTAGGAGACATGTGTGACAGCTGCCCCACAGTCAGTAACCCAGACCAGGTAAGGCGGTACTCCCCATTCTGCAGTCCTGGGACGGTGCTGGCGTCACCTGCCTGAGGTGCTCAAACCTGGGAACTCACCGAGCACCACCTGCAAATCCCACAGTACATAAGTGCAACCCCTCGAAGTCACAAGATTACCTCTTGATCTATGGAAAGTGTCACTTATTATTGCTTTATTTTACTAGAAAGATACTGACCATGATCTGGTGGGAGACGTCTGTGACACCAACCAGGACAGGTGAGAGCTTGCTTCAAAGATTACACTGGGGTTGCATGAAACCTTGGGGATGGGGGGAGAAGAAGGCAATTCCCTGTCAGCCTGGCTTGGCCTTACCTGAGAAAAAGAGGTTAAGGGAGGTGGAGTTCTCTTCACACCTCAAAAGTCAGTGGAAGCACAGCCCATGCTGGCCTGCTCATCATTACCTACCAGCCCCAGACCTGTTTGGACACTGCAGCAGGGATGTTTCTGCTCTCTTGTTGGTGTAGCTAAGGGGCAAAACTCACCACCTTGTGCTGTTCTTGTTGAGGACCCCAGCCCCTAGAAAGGTGTTACCTGCTTCTTTCAAAATGGATGAGCTTTACCTGTGATTTCCTCCACCAGCGATGGGGATGGCCACCAAGACTCACGGGATAACTGCCCATCAGTGCCCAACAGCTCCCAGGTGGACACAGATAATGATGGGCTGGGAGATGAATGTGATGATGATGATGATGATGACGGGATTCCAGATGAGAAACCTCCAGGCCCTGACAACTGTCGGCTTGTCCCTAACCCTGGCCAAGAAGACTCGGATGGTAAGGGGAAATGGATGCACCTAAACTCTGCTTGGGCCCTCCTGTTCCTGGTGGCTAATGCCTACCAGTTTGGTCTCTAGAGATAGCCAGGAATTAAGATCTTCTCAGTACTGACCTGGGACAGTCCTATGTCATTTTCAGATCTCCCAAACCCCTGACATCGGGATCATATCTGGCACAAGTTCTCTTCCAGCAGTGACAACAATTTGAGGTGTCTCTTCTGCTCACAGCATCTCTGCCAGCAAGAGAAGCCTCGGGGTTTCTTTGCAACTGACTTAAAGTGTCTCTGAACACCTCTTAACCTTGCACATGGCTACCTTAAACTGCACTGTCCAACAGCTATTGGAGTAAAACTCAGGTGTAAGGGGTGGGAGAGATTAATGAACCCTTGTTACTCCTTTTCTCCTCTCAGGTGATGGTGTGGGAAACCTCTGTGAAGATGACTTTGACAGAGACATGGTGATTGACAGGATTGACGTGTGCCCAGAGAACGCAGAGGTGACCCTAACGGACTTCAGGGCTTTCCAGACGGTTGTATTGGACCCTGAGGGTGATGCACAGATTGACCCCAACTGGATTGTCCTCAACCAGGTGGGCACTGCTCCAGAACAGGCTGGGTCAGGGTGGGGGGGGACATGGACAGGCCTGTACCAAAGTGGGTGCAGTTTTCCTCATAAAACTGTGCAGGCTTCACATCCTAATCCTGGAGCCTCGCCCCAGGGCTATCTTTCCTCTGAGCACTGAACCAGGGTCAGGTTGGTACATTTGAAACTGTTCTCATGAGTCAACATTCCTCTTTTTCAGGGCATGGAAATTGTCCAGACCATGAACAGTGACCCCGGCCTGGCCGTAGGTGAGGCTCTTCCTTTTGTCCTATTGGGAAGGTTACTGCTCAGCAACTGCCTGCTCCTAGTGCAGCTTTACAAGTACCTAACGCTCCATGCACCTCCGGGGGAAATACTTCCTGCAGTAGCAGAAGCTTCAGCTTAGCAACATCCACCTCTCCCATCCGGATCTGGAATCAAATGGATCTCCATTTAGTCTTAGAACACAGAATCTTTGTTTCCTCACCCATTCCAGGTTACACTGCATTCAATGGAGTGGACTTTGAGGGCACATTCCACGTCAACACTGCCACAGATGACGATTATGCTGGTTTCATATTTGGCTACCAGGACAGTTCCAGCTTTTACGTGGTCATGTGGAAGCAGATGGAACAGACATACTGGCAGGCAAACCCCTTCCGAGCAGTAGCAGAACCTGGTATTCAACTGAAGGTAAAGCAGCCATTGATAAAGAATTCCCTAGTGGATGTGTGGCCTTTCTCTTAGCCGTGCCGCTTGGGCACGCGCAGCTCCAGTCAGTCAGTCCTTCATCCCCACCTCTTACCGGTCTCCTCTCGGTCCCAGGCAGTGAAGTCTAAAACAGGCCCAGGGGAGTACCTCCGGAACTCCCTGTGGCACACGGGGGACACCACGGACCAGGTCAAGCTGCTCTGGAAGGACCCTCGCAACTCCGGCTGGAAGGACAAGACCTCGTACCGCTGGTTCCTGCAGCACCGGCCCCAGGTCGGGTACATCAGGTGGGGGTCTACAGCTGCCTCGGCACGCCTGACGAGCACTTGAGCACACAGCAGCAGCACCTCCAGTGCAGTGCGGAGGGAAAGACAGGGAGCGTGCGCTTGAGGAACGGTCTTTATGGGGGTGCCTCAGTCCCACGTTCGTGTCCTACCCGTGCTTGTTCTCTCCTAGAGCTCGTTTCTATGAAGGACCTGAAGTAGTAGCAGACACTGGAGTTGTCCTTGACACCACCATGCGAGGAGGCCGCCTGGGAGTCTTCTGCTTCTCCCAGGAGAACATCATTTGGTCCAACCTGCGTTACCGCTGCAACGGTGAGTTTCAAAGAGCAAACACAGGGACTGCTGCCATTTCACTTTCAGGACACCCCTTTGCTCTGGTATAACCTGTCCCTAAGCCTGCAGCAGGAGGGCTCACACAGCACCCGAGTCTATTTTTCACTCCTGGTTCTACTTCTAATCCGTATTTGCTTCAATCTCCTCCTCCTCAGACACCATCCCAGAAGACTATGAAACATTCCGAGTTCAGCAAGACTAAGGCCTGATGTCAAGATGTGTCCAGCCAGCCTCGCTTTCAGCCCCTGCTCAGCTGCCCCACTATCGCTCCCGTAGCCCCTATGAGGAACTGTAAGTAACGTTACCACTGCGGCATCACCCAGCATCTCCCCTACCGCAGCAGCTGGCTTACACGCTCCAAACCCTGCTGGCACGGCCGTGGTGTAGCCAGCGAGTGTGGACAGAGCCCGAGCTGCTGTAAACACGAGCTCTCTACACACCGTGGATGCGCTGAGAAGCTGCTTGCTGTAGCTGGAATTGAGTCAAGTCTCGCGTGGATGATTCCCAAGGGTTATTTTCCCTCCTCAAAGGCTCTCAAGTGTGAATGTTTGTTTTCCTTGTCAAGCAAACCCAGCGCCAGTCTGAAAAGGACACAGGGAGCAGCTCATGTACAAGTTGCTCACAAAACATTAAAAAAAAGCACTTTAAGGAGAGTGTCTTTGTTCTGGAATGTTGGATAATAAATACTTGGAATGTTGGATAATAAATACTTGGAATGTTGGATCATAAATACTTGGAATGTTGCATCATAAATACTAGACTTCTTTGTCATGTGCATGTTGCTTTTTCCTCTGAAACTATTCTAATCCAGATGTGGAAGAGAGCCCCTCAGCAGCTGGGTTATCAGTTGTTAGTACATGCACGGGGCCATGTTCTCCTGTGAGCACCTCCCTCTGCTCGGACTGCCCTGCCTGGGCCTTGTGGGTGGGGGTTAGCTTTAAATGAAAGCTTCAGGTGGGATCTGGGCACCAGGCTGGGACTCCCACAGCTGGACAGCCAAGGACCAGGGAGTGCTGCAGCCATTGGTGCCATGGGTGCTTGTCTGAGCTGGGAAGAGCAGTCCCAGGGTTTCCCGAGCTGCCAACCGGGGAAGGCTTCAGCCCCGCACCAGGGTGATCCCCAGTATCTCCTGGGTAAGCAGCAGCAGCATTCCAGGCTGCCTCAAGAGCCCACTAAAGCACATCAGGTAAGGGGTTCACGTCAGTTACACTGAAACTTGCTCCTAGCGCCTGTGGAACACTCAGCAGTGCAGCTCTGCAAGCTCCATACAAGTTCCACTCCAGAGCAAGGCTGAGGTATCCATCCTGGGCAGTGACCATACTGCTCCCGTTAACACGTTCCCGAAGAAGCAGGGTGTGAACACACCTTCCATCTCCTCGAAAGGGCTCTCAGCTCGGAAGGGACATTGTAGGAGCTTCGAAGAAACCCATTCCCAATTGGATCTGGCCAGAGACGGCTCCGAGCCAGGCGCAGGAATGAACAACCCCTCACTGACACTGGTCCCAGCAGCATCCCGCGCACTCGCTCCGGTTACGCTTCACACACAGAGCAGGTTCCCCAGCACAGAGGAACCTTCCCAAAGACAAGCACAAAACAAGGTTCCAAAGCACATTCATTCCACTCGAGAGCGACGCCGCCGCTGCCCAAGTGGAGGGACTGGGTCCTTCTGACCCAGCGGCCTTCGTGACGTCCTGCCCTGGTCCTGGCACCTCTGCTCAGCCCCATGAGCCACCCATGGCAGGCGCTGCTGTGGTGAACGCTACGCCCAGGTAAAGGCCACTCCTGGGACAAGCGAACCGGGCCAGGCTGAGCGCTTACACACTCAAACCTCCTGCTCCTCAGGCTCTCCTCACCCCACACAGCCCTAACGCTACGCAGCAGCCCAGAGCCGAGACCTCAGTGAAGCTGAGACCGTCACCACACCGGCCCCACTCGGGATGCTCCTGGTGACAGCTCCACGCTCGAGACTCGTCACAGCCCCTGCATCCCTCCAAGCAGCTGCAGTTTCCTCACACAGAGCTGGGTTTCAGCACTGCCAGAAGCCAGGGGACCCCCAGCACTCAATTCCACCCTTCCCTTACAAACACGAGCACTGCAACGCCACCATTTCCACCCTGAGAACCACCACAGAGCAGCCCACAAAGGAAGCTAAGAAAAAGCTGAGCAGCCAGAGACAAAACCAGTTGAACTTTTATTACATTTCATTTACAAATAATGCAAAGATACAAAGACGAAAGCCTTCACACAAAAAAAAAAAAAAAAAGGATTGAAAAGAATGTACATTGAGTCGAGCCGCTTTTTCACATCAGGTCTCGGGTCGCAAACACTTAAAGCCAACTCCAGTTTCCACTTCACCCAGAGAAAAACACAACAAACAGAACTTCCCTGCCGCGGGGACTACGGCTGCAGCTGAGGATTGCATCAGTGAGGGAACCGCACAGCATTTGTCCTGCCTCGGAAACGCATCAACCGAGCTCCACGCACTGCACAAGGCTGGGTTTTAGCTGCCAGGCTGGGAGAGGAGCGGCCGGAGCAGCGCCGTGGGGGTTCAGTAACATCAAACTCACCCTCTGTGAGCACGGACACGTTTAATCCCCACTGCGCCAGGGAATCCTTCACACCGGGGCTCCGGCACCGTCAGGAACATCTACAGGGTCTCATCCCCACCCCCAGACCAAAACCTCAGGATCTCCTCTCCTCTCCCAGTTAAGAGCTCACTGAAGCACCACGTTCGCATCCCTGCGCTGGGTGCTGCGGACCCAACACCCGTCGCTATCTCTGTTCACTCAGTTCTCTTCCGCCTGTGCTGATGCTCATGCCAGGGATATTCAGGGATGCTCGGGATGCAGGGGGTTGGTTCAAGCGAGCCCGGCGCCCCCGTGACGTCTCACCCCATAAATGTTATCATCTAACTTTCATATTCACCTGCTGTGCGAGGCCAGAAGCCCCCCCCAACCCCCCGTTTGTCCTCCCTACATTTAACGTCTTAGAAACCCCAAACCGAGCCAAGCTTAATCCTTCCCTGTCAAACGGGGGCTTGTGCCAAAGCGGGGCCATTCGGGCGCTGCTCCCTCTTCCCAACACCCAGCACAGACTCTGGGGCACTCACATCGCCCTTCGCACACCAGGGTTCAACTCCGCTGCTGCAAGTTTAAGCCTGTAAAACTCCAGCCGGGAGCACAGAAAACGCCGCTGCTCCCAGTGCAAAAACACAGCCCTGGGGGGGGGGGGGGTGCACAAACAGGGACCTTCCACCCCTTCTCTTCTGACCCACGGCAGCAAACGGCCGGACTGAGCCACCCCGGAGCAGAGCCCCGGCGCGGAGCTGCCTCCACGGATACCCCTTTGGAGCTCGCTCTGAAGGGACGAGGCTCCGACCATCGCCGTGCCCAGGACCTGCCCTGCACACGCGGGGCTCCCCCAGCCCTCACAAGCACAAACCTCTCCCAGCGCTCCCCTTCCCGTGACTCGCTCACAGCTGAAGCGCGGTGAGAGGGGGAAGCTCCCGCTGCACACGGCAGGGAGGAGCCGCCGGGGGTGAACCCACGCAGGCCTTGGATTCATCTCCCCGTCCCCAGGGGAGCGGCAAACCCGGCTCCGAGCCCCCCCAGCCAGCGAGGGCTCTGCTCTGGGGAAGCCCGGCTGGGCTGGGAGGGCTCCCAGCTCCACAGTGGGAAAAAGCGGGGTCCCAGCGGGCTCCATTCAGGACCGGAGCCACGGGAGCCTCCATGGCCTCCCACTCCCAAGACTTCTCCAGCACAGGCACCAACTCCTGTGGCTCTGCCTCCTCCTCCCTTCATGCAGTGTTCCTACGAGGCTCAAATCCAGCTTCCACTGGAGGAACCTGAATTCCAAGACAAGGGGTGGGGGGGGCTGAGGGCAGCTGCTGCATCCTCAGCTCTGGTTATCCCAATGGATTCACTGAAGGATTCCCCAAAGCCTACAGAAGGTGGGAGGCGAGATCAGGGTGAGATCGGAGCCCCCCCAAGCTCCCGGGGTTCAGACAACATCAAGCAGAAGCAGGATCGAACACTGAGACAGAACCTGTGCAACACCCGCTGGTCCCAGCACGGCCTCGCCTGACCCATCCGGCACGCACCGCAACGAAGACCCGAGCCAACACACACCAAACCCCAGCAGCTTGCAGACCCACAAGAGCCGCGTGCTCATGGAAGCGCCGCTTCAATCAGAGCCAGGGCGCGTCCGTGCACGTTCCCCACGTTAACCTGGACCAAGTCCCTCCTGGGAGGTTTCTGCCTCCAAAGGCAGCCCAGGGTTTCAGGCACAGGTGAAGCAAAGCTCAAGCTCAGCTCCAGCCTAACCCCAAAGCTGCCACTGTTATCAAATGAGGAGGAGGAACCCTTACACCCGGTCAAAACGCCATCCCTTCTGCACACAGAGCTGTCAGGATGATGGGAAAGGGCTGCCTCCTGCTCCCATCGAGCACAGCAATGGCTCAACTTCCTATCTGTACCTCGGAGCCCAAGCAAACGAGACTGGAACCAGCAACAACTTGAACACCAAGACGGCCACGTTAACGTGTGCCTGCAGATCCCAGCTTCCTAAAACCCGGAGAGAGGAAGACAGCAGGAAAACGTGACCCCCAGGGCTCCCACAACTACTGTCATTAGATCATCGCTCCTGCCTGTGCACACCAGCAGCCACCACAGGGACACACTGCAAAGGCAGAAGAAACAAAGGACGTGTCTCTTGCATGTGGGTTCTGTCCCAAACTGCACCACCCTAAAGCTGGACCTAGGAGTGAACTGAAGCACAATCAGCAGAACAAGACCCTCGTGCCCAGCAAACACCAACACCGAGCACCACGAGCCTCCAGCGGGCAGGCGATGTACAGCAGGTACCCAACGCGCCGCGGGTGCTCCATGGCCCTGTCACTACTGAAGGGCAATAGGTAAAGTGGAAAGAACCAAGATAAAGCAAACCAAACGCTGTCCAGGCATTTCCCTGCCTCCCATTCAGTGACAAGGTGAGAGAACCTTGAAGCAAGAGGTCAAGCTGGTTTGGAGGAGACAGCCAGGGTCGGGATGAGCAGGGAAAAGCTGCCACCACAACGGCACCACCACCTCCAGCCTCCCCCTGCCACGCGGACCCTCAGACCACGTTGATGTGCAAAGCGCCTCACCCCCTCCCAGCTCCCAAAACCACCTTCAAAACGGAGCAGTGACGGAGCTGCGGCTGCCCCAGGGATGCAACCCACTGGGGACAAGCGGGAGCGCCAGGCTGGGGCCACGTCCCAGCCTCGCTGGCACCTGCAGAGAGAAGGGGGGCAGGCCCCTGCTCTTGCTCTGCTCTCTTTGCTCTCGTTACCTGTGCTCAGACACAGCGGAAGGCCCGGCGCAGCTCCGGAGCAGCGGCATCTACAGAACACGTCAGACCCACAGAACCACGAACGAGCTTGGGTTTGGATCCTGTGAGAGGAGCCCCGTGGGGCTGGGCCAAGGGACGACCCCCTCCAGGGTCTCCAGAAGAACTCAGGGCACGGAGGGACGGGCGGGGAGGCTCGGACGCAGGTCTCCAGCCTCGCTATGCGGTTACCAGCATCGCCTCGACACCTGAGCCTCAGATCACTCCTCAGCCCTTGCTACGCGGAGCTGCTCCACCACAGAGCTGCCTTTCCTCGCTGCACGCATTCTCTACGCTACGGAGCTGCTTCCCTTGATGCTTCCTACAACGCAGGCAAGCCACTGAAGAAAACAGCCAACGTTATTTTACCCCTTTAGGCCTTTATTTTGATAAAATTGGTCAAGCCCACAGAAGGCGAGATAACACCACAGTCAAAACCACCCCCCGCCCCCCCCTAGCAAAATAAATAACACAAATGAGTACGTAATGTAGTGTTTTGGTTTGCAGTATAGAAATTCCACACAATGATTCCGTTTAAAAAGGTAAAAATGATTTATAATACACAGTTAGAATGTCATGGTGCCCGCATAGAAAACCGACATGCAATCCATGCCTACACTGCGCCGTAGAAAGAAGATGCAACTAAAAATACAAAGAACAGGAACAACTACAAATCGATTCTGTCTTTTTTTTTTCAAGGGCTTTTGTGGGTTTTGTTTTTTACAAAGGACACAGAACGAACGCTACCTGCGCTTTCACATTGCCATCACAGTGACGGGGGGGCCGCTTGGCAGAGGAATAAACGCTGTTGGAATCCCGAAATCCCGACGGGACGGGAGCTTCCCGCTTCCTTCATGCACAGAGGGGGTTCCCAGGGGCAGCGTCGGGCTCAGACCGGGATGGACCTCCAGCCTCAAGAGGTGTTTCCACAGAAATCCAAGCTTATAACAAACAAGCGCAGTCCAGAGCTTGGGTTTGAGGGAAGTTTCAAGGATTCTCTAAGTTTTGGGATGCTGATTTTAGGCAAACTCGGAGGGCAGCTCCTTCTCTAGCTGCAGGTTCACCCACGAGCACTGTTCTGGCTTCACCCCCGGGCCTCAGGCACACTTCTTTTTATTTAAAGAAACAAAAACCAATTCAGTTCAAAATCAGGTCATAAAATGTACAAAGAATGAACAATTCCTTCTTTCTGGAAAGCTTTTCCCCTCTTGAAAAGGAAACCCCCACCTCTGTGTGCAGGGGCTGCAGGGCCGGCGCTCGCTGCCATGCAGGAGCCATAGCGAGCCGGCGCCAAGCGCGGCACAACCGTATGTACAAGGGCAGAGCCCCCTGCAAGCAGCACAAGCTTGGCTTTCCACTTGGGAATCACAGTATTTGATGCACTGAAGGTTTATTCCTGTTATTTCCCCATTGTATTGGCAAATGCAACAGTCTAGCTTGGGAGCTTTGTAATATATATTTCTATCTATAGCTATAAAAACACGTGTTGGGAGGGGGCAGGGTTCACTCAGCAGGTACGTTTGGGCAGTAACCCTTTGAGACACCAGACAGCTTCAACATCACTTAACTCAAAAAGTTATAAATACTACTCCTTTTTATATATATATATCTATTTCTTTTTTGCTAAGTGATCTTTCTGTTTCTGCTCTCCTCTGTCCCGGGACGGGAAGGGGCAGCCGCTCCACACGGCTCCACCTGCACGATGAAAATGGAACCAGAGCTACTGAGTTGTCCAAATCAGATTACTTGTTCCAAAAGCACTTGGATCCGCTCCACGCTTCCGCAGCCACGAGGTGCCACAGCCTCACAGCTCAGGTTTGCTTCCAAACCAGCCTTGTGTGTACACACATTGAAAAAGCCACATTTTAATGGGAGAGGGAGAGAAAACCTCCTCTCCAAGTGCAGCTCCTCCCCGACGCCGTCTGGAACCCGGCTTTCGGGGAGGCAAAACCCAAGAGGTGTTGAAGTAACTGCGCCGGTTCTCAAAGGGTTGCTCCTAGGAGCAGCCTGTGCCTGCTCCGAGGTGGATGGAGCACACTTCCCAGGGCTCAGCCCGTCCCGCTCCCAGCGCCCTCCGCCCCGCGCGGCAGGAACAAAACCTGGATTCCTCTCAACCCGATGGTCCCTAATTTCGACAGTTGCATCCAGACGTGTTAGTTTTTAAATTAAGGCCATTTTAAATGTCTACTTACAAGTCTAATAAACAAGATCTCTTATGTACACGCGTAGTTTACAAACCAATGGGAAGGTAGCGTTTAGCAACAGCTCCCTGTCAAAGTCTCCAGTGAGGAATCTCGCCTCCTACTCGGCTGCTTCACTCTGAAGTGCCTCTGGGTTTCAAAATAAAAACACAAACAGATCACGAACGAGAATTTCCATGCAGGAGAGCCATTGGAACGCGAGCGCGACGCGGGAACGCCGCCGAGGAGCGACGGGGACTGCGGGAAGCGGATCCAACTCGCGCTGCGCTTTCGGCTGCTCCACAGCCGAGGACTCCGAGTCACCCGTGCCCCAGTTCTCCCGGTCTTTTAGGGGATCCTCCTGTTCAAAGCTACCTTTTTCTTTCTCCTCCTTAAATTAAGAAAGCATGAGCAATCTGAAATAAGCAGACACCAGGAGTTAACATGTACTACCGGGCTTAAATCCTGACATAGCAACCCCAAACGTTTCCAACAGGGATGCAGGAAAACCTTCCAGTCGGGTGGGAGGGAACAGAAGAGACACACGTAAGGAAAGAGCTTGAGGGGAAATAAACCCATCTTTTTTTAGTGCAAATGGTCAACTGATGGCACGGACATGAGCAAACCCGCACCCAGGTTAGACCCCGGCAGCGCCGCTGCTCAGAGCCTTTGCCTGGCGCTCAGGACAGTGTCCCACCCTTTCTGGAAGCACACAGAAACCCAATACAACTCATTAGGAGCAGCCCAGCCCCTCCGCAGACCTTCACCACTGCTCAGTGCCTACAGCGAGGAGACCCCTGCTCGCGGGGAAGGGGACGGGTGGGATTGCTGCAATGAGGGGATGGGTCCTGCTTACAAGAAAGAACGGACACGGCTTTGGGCCAAACAGCAAATCCAGACCCCGAGCGGGTGCGGAACTCCAGCGCCAGGGGGGAACTAAACCCCCAGCTCGTCTGGAGAGGGAAACTCCTCGGGCCCTTCTCTTTGGGGTGTATGTAACCCAGACTGCTGAGAGGGTTGGCCCCCTCCCGTGCAGGAGTGCCGTGCTCTAGCAGGTATCCCCTCACCTCAAGGGCAGGGTGTGAGATGCCACGTGAGCTTCAATTTGTTAGTTAGACTCAAAGCAACACTAATCCCTCACTTCTGTCAAGAGGAGGGCCCTGTGCCTACAGATTCTGGCCCTGCACAGGTCACAGTGTAACCAAGCCAATGCTTGCACAGGCCCCTGGCAATCAGCGTTGAGCCCATTGGAACCCTCATGAGTCTTTAAAGGCGTTTTTCCAATTGGGAACCACACCTGGGACTCGCCATCAATTCACGCCCCCCACCAAGGTGACACCCCTGCTGCAGCGCCCAGGGGTGGGTTGGGGGTGGGGTTTTTACTCTGTCATGACACTGCAGCCCAGAGGATGAACAAGGACTAACAGAAATAATCTGTTATGAGCCCAACAGACTCTCCACCTGCTCGAGGACACAGCGCTGCGGAGCAAGCCAGTTCTTCTCCAGGGTGAGAGAAGGAATAGCCAGGTTCCTGCCACCCTGTTTTGACTATACAACAGGAAAACATCCAGACTCGCCGTAGGCTCCCTTACTTCTGCTCAACATCTGTTTAAAATTCCAGTTAGTTAAAAATACCTATATATATAATATATATAATATATTTCTGGAATAAAAACACAAAAAGATGGACTGTACAAGGATGCTGTAGAGTGCTTCAGTTGGCTGTATGTAGTTTAGCTACTTTCCTAATATCCAAATACTTAAATAAAACAAAACAAAACAAAAAGATCATAAATAATGGTAACAGAATAAGTAATGAATGAGAATAAAAAATAAACCGTAAGAAATAGTCGTGATTTGAGCCAGGCATCGCTACAGAAATGCCCTTCCTGTTGCCCAGGAATCTCTCACAAAGTAATGTTAGGAACATGCTCTGCAAGTTAGTCTCCTAGATTCTTTTAGCTGCTTTAAAATGTTCTGATCCTTCCTTCATGCTAATCAAGTAACGAATTATAGTACTTTTGTGTGTGCTCAGAAATGCTCCTTATATATGCATACATATATATAAATATATATATTACATATATATTAAAATCAAAGAAAGCTTTGAAAATAGTGTTGACAGTTGCCTGCTGAGTGGCAAATGGCCGTGGGGCTGCCGGGCTCGGTCCTGCTCGGGGCATGAGGAGAGGAGGAGGGTGACAGCCAGGGACCAACCTGCACCCGCGGGCACCCTGGCCACGAGGGGAGAAGCGTTCCACTCAACCAAGCGGGTGGCACAAAGCAGAGCCAAATCCCCCCCTCCCGCAGCTCCCCCGGCCCCTCGCAGAGGGTGGCAGCACGGGATCAGTGTGGGGAGAGGGAGGGGGCACACAGCGGCGCTTCTCCCCCTCCCAACAGCTTGGTACGTTAGGAGGAATCGCTTTACCCCTGGCTCTGAGCCTTCCTCGCCTGCCCCCAACCGCCCCTTTTCTAGTGCAAAGGATAAATGGACAACATAACGCTGGAGCTCCGGTGGGGGAAAAGGAGGGGGGGCTCTGGAGAGGAAACTGCTGATGGAAACTCCTTACTCATTCACAGCAATGAGCGGGTAAGGGGTGAAATACGGCGCGACAGGGAGTAGGGGTCTGCAGCGCTGCAAGCTTAGAACGACAAGCTTTACTCATTGTACATGGTGCACAGGACAGAGCTGCTGCTCTCAGCAGCTCCTGTTCCCACACGACTGACCCGCTGGCCTCTCCAGTTCGGCTGGGCTCCAGGAACAAGCGTCATTCCCACGCTCCTGGTGTCCGCGCTTCACAGCCGGTCCATCCTGAACGTGTCCTCTGTGGCGGGGTCGGTGAGGACCATGTCTGGGTCGTTCAGCATGTGCAGTCCATCCAAGGTTAAAGGGTCAATTTTGAGTTCATCCAGAGGGAACTGGGAATCCGTGTCAAAGCTGACGTCTCCCACTCCTGCCAACGAGCTGGTCAGTTCTTTTGATAAGCTGGGAGGGGATTCTCCTGTCACTGCAGGGAAGAGGAAGAGAAAGGTGTTAGGAGGACTCAGCAAACACACACTGGCCAGGCAGGAGTCATAAAGCAGCTTGCAGTGATTCTGGAGCAATTTATCAAACTTAAGGCTGTGTTTAAGACCAGAAACGGCTCTCCTCACTGCCAGCCAGATGAAGCACAGATTGGTCAGAGCAGCTCAGAACCCCTGTAACTACTTAACACAAAGCCAAATCCCTGTACATATATCTGGGGGCCACAACACGGTGTCACTTGAGTCTCTTTCCTCCCCCTGAGGTTTTAAGAGGAATAACCTTAACTGACATGATTCTAATCAGCAAGAGGCTGCAATCTGGGCTGCAGTGCCGTTTTCTCAGTGGGCTGTGCAGAAACTGTTTCCAAACGTCCAACGGTGACCAGATCCGCTCCCATATGTGCCACTGACAAAGCCTCTGCTGGCGCGCGGCCGGAGCAGCACAGGGAGAAGTTTGGCTTTCCCAGCTTCTCCCTCACTGTGGTGGAGGAGCCAGTAAATTCAGAGGCAGGGAATGTCTGCAGGACAACAAGCCCTGATTGCAGGGATCAAACATGAGCCACCTGGCACTCGGGGGATAGCCAGACTGGTAACACAAGGTGAAACAACCTTCGAAGGCACCAACGCCCTTTTGCTTTCTTGGCTTGAAGCAAGAAGAGAAGCACCAGCACTGGGTGGTTTAGATGTCAGTAAGGCTGTGATTTCCTTGCCTGTAAGAATGATGTTGGGGATGTTTCCATGGCTGGAGTAATTGAGCTGCTGCGAGTCCTGCAGGCTGCCGTGGCTGCCGGTGAGCCCCATCATAGCTGCTTGGGAGTAGTTGAGGGTGGAGCAGGGGCTGTACAGGCTGTTGGAACTAATGGCGTTTTCGATCATATTAAACTGTTCAAGCTGAAGACCAAGGCACAATGGAATTATTACTTGTAACCAGCAAGAAATACAACAAAACTACATACAAAGCTCAAGAAAGGGAAGTAACATTGAAAGAGGCAGGCAAACAAATTCATCTTTAGGTTTCCTTCATCAAAATATGGTCTATTGTCACTGAACTTTCCAGAGTAGTTTACTGCCAAATTCAGAGTGCAGGGGAATGAGGAGAGGGTGGATGCAAAACCAAAACTGTTGCTTTTGATATCAGAAGAACAAAAGAAAAGGTAGCTTGAAAATAAAGGAAAAAACCCAGAATTCATGCTCCTAACTCAGGTATCTGCCCATCAAGTGCTGCCTCTCAGAGGCCAACTTGTTTCTTCCTGCTAATAGATTTCAGAGTTGAATGAATCAAGGCACTGGTCAACCAAATGACTGGAGGCATCAGGCTGTGTGCCCGGTTTTGGCACCAGGCACGAGCTGTTTGCCAAATTCAGGAGTAAATATTGTTACTGCCTACAAGTGCATCCTTCCCAAATGCAACCATGGCCAAAAACGTGGCTTTTTTTTCAGGTTTATTTTCATTATGTTTAATCCAGTAAACCCGGCAGAACACCCTTAAAAAACACCTGCTATGATGGTGAAGAGGGACAAGGGGGAGGAAAGAGTGTGGGGAGGAAAAGAACGCAATAGAAGGAAAGAAATCCCTGAGTATTGCAAACTAAAAGGAAGGGAAGTAAAACTCTATGGCCAAAATGGGATCTCACAGAAAAGAAGTTGATCTATATTTATTTTAAGCTGAAAGTGGCCGAAATATAGCTGAAAAGCCGAGATGAATTTGCTCACCTGGTGGGATAGGGCATTAGCCTGCCTAGCTGTCATCTGCTGATCATAATAGGAGTCACCAAATACACTCCCCAGAATGGAAGAATGCTGAAAACAAAACAGAGTCTTTATGGTGCAAAACTCTCACAAACAGGCGTCCCCATGGAGTGGCTCGAGCCGTCCGACCGGTTCTGCTCCAAGTCAGTCAGCAGCACCCTGTGTTGGTGTAACCACCACTGCCCAGCAGCCCTGCAACAGTCAGAGGTGCCCTCTGACAGGCAAACCCTTCCGTGTCACACTTGGTAAAGCACAAAGATACAGTCAAGGAAACCAAACAAACTTCCTCACGGAGGACACAGAACACAGAGAACTTCGGGTTTATGGAAACAGACGAGTGCGCCAACACGAGGAATTAAAAACATCACTCCAACATCAGCTTTTGTGGGAATCCCTGGCTTTCTGGGTGCAAGACAAACCCCCACACAGAATTCAAGTGCATGTTGGAACACAGTGTGAAGCCAAGCTGCTCCCCAACTCGCTGCCTCTTCAGCAGCCTCATGCTCACAGCTTCACCAAGGAGACAATGCACCAAACCTGACCAGTCACTTTAAAGTCTCTGCACCCCAGCTGCAGTCAGAGGAGCGAAGGAGAAAGCCCAGTGAAGGATGTTGTCAGCAGAGGGAAGGCAGGGATCTTGGGAGGAATTCCTCAGCATTGCTAATTTGACTGTCCCCTCTAGCACTATGAGCATCTATCAGCTATTCCATCTATCAGTTATTCTCCACCACAGAATCCCAGCCTGGTTTGGGCTGGAAGGGACTTTAAAGCTCATCCAATCCCAATCCCTGCCACGGGCAGGGACCCCTTCCACTGAGCAGCTTGCTCCAAGCCCCTGTGTCCAACCTGGCCTTGAACACTGCCAGGGATGGGGCAGCCACAGCTTCTCTGGGCACCCTGTGCCAGCACCTCAGCACCCTCACAGGGAAGAGCTTCTGCCTTAGATCTATCCTGGACTTCCCCTGTTTCAGTTTAAACCCATCACCCTTGTCCTATCACTACAGTCCCTGATGAAGGTCCCTCTCCAGCATCCTTGTAGGCCCCAATCACAAAGAGAGCCCTTCTTACTTAGAACTTACTGACAAAGAGCACCTGTATCAGGTGGTGTCTGAAAGACCATTTTCATGGAGAGCTTGTATCTATCTTGAAAAAATAAAATCAACCCCTTGCACAGCATCTTCCAGCTGCTTTATCTACATGGGAAGAGAAAGGCTCCAAACTTTCTCCTTAAAAACCTAAGCAGCCTAGGAAATTAAGCAAAAGCCTAGGAAATATAAGAACAACCAGACCAGCCACCACAGTTAAAGCTGAACGCAGCCAAAGCTACCCAAAACCCCACTGGACAATGCCCACAACAGTGGACATGTAAATCTGAGCCAACATCCCACCTGAAACCTCCTCCCTCCTCCATCAGCAACGTGTCTCAGTGCAGCAGATTTGCAGGTTGCATGCAAGGAAAAAGATGGAATAAACCCCCCGAGTCGTTCACAACCTTGTTGTGACTCTCAGGAAAGGAGCAACAATACCTTCTTTCAAAGCAAACCAACCCACCAGAAGAGGAGAAACAGGAGCCTCACAGACATCCATGGTGCTGCGATTCCTGGTTAGCCATTGGCAAAGCCAGCAACAGCAGCAGACAACTGCCTCCAAGTCTCCATCAGAGCTCATTGGCAGCTTCTCAGTAAGAAATGGTTTAACTACATGAAGCCAGCTCATCCTTAAGACTGGTTAAAGCCAAGAATAGGGTTTTATGGACAAAAATAAGCTTTTGATTGCCTTTCCTGTGCATTTGTGATCTGTCACAGCTGTGAGCACAGAACGACTACAGTGTCTTTGCAGCTTTACACCCCACCCCATGCCCTCCTTAGAAGCAGGTAAAAATGGTTCTAACTGGGGCCAGTCTTCCCTTTTAGCACCTGGGCCTCAAAGCTGTGGTAGCTGCTCTATCCCTTGTGTGAGACAAGGCTACCAGGAAGCTACAAACATCACAAGCAAGAGCCACATTGGACCTCATGAGAGAAAATGCAAAGCACTACTTACATTAACAAAACAAAGAACCACACTGAGCCACAGAGTGCTTTGTGTTGGAAAGAACCTTAAAGCTCCTCCAGCTCCAAGCCCCTGGCATGGGCAGGGACCCCTTCCACTGGAGCAGCTTGCTCCAAGCCCCTGTGTCCAAGCTGGCCTTGAGCACTGCCAGGGATGGGGCAGCCACAGCTTCCTCGCTGTTCAAATTTGACATCTGCTACAAGCGCTCCTGCCTTCCAAGGAAAATGGAGTCAGAGCCTGGGGCAACCTCAAGATGAGGATGAACCAAGCTGAACTCTATCATGGGAAAACCACCCCTGTCTCATGTGGCAGATGTGGCTCCAGAGCTGTGTCTTGCTTTATAACGAATTCCTAGTCAATGTGTACTTTGGGATGTCACGTACTCAACGTGAACCAAAGCCAGTTTGGACCAGCACTAGAAACACAATTCTGGTCAAGAGCAACAAAGAGCATCAAGGGGTTTTATTTCTCCCTGCACCCCACTGAGCACCATTTCCAAACCAGAAAGTCCAAAAAATAATAAACAGGAGACCAAAATCTCTTTGTGCAAGTCCACGTTAGCAACTCCTACCAAAACACTCAAGCTCTGGTTCACTCCCCAGCTCTGAAGTACACCGGGTATTACATCTGCAAGCACTAAACCTCCCAGAGGAAATCAACTGGAAATGTCATTACTTCAACACTTCGGAGTCCCGGAATAATTTATCGACAACCCTGTGAAAAACATCTTGCTACCACCAGCTCCTCCAGACACGCTGGGTGAGGTCTGTTTTGTCAACAGTACATCTTCTTGGGTTAATGATGTGGTGACTGCAAGGGAAAGAAACAAACCCCAAATCGCAAACCCCCTATTAATCTAAAAATACATACCATAATATCCAGTATGCAGCCATCCTACTAAACAAAGCAGATTCCAGCTAATTGGAACAGTCTGCTAGGTGTTAGAGAGGAACAACGTAGCAAGAAACGAGGCATTGTCAATGGAAAGCCATGCAAACACAGAGCTGGGAGCTACAAGCAGAGCTTTTCAATCCATGTTTGAACAGGGAGCCCCTGGAGAATACACACACATGGGGGACACAAGCCAATCCATCTGGAGATGTGGAAAAACGGGAAATTCACTTGTGGTGAATGAACCAGAGGCGAGAAGAAAACCAAACCACAGGTTGCTGTTTTCAGAGCGTGTCACTCATGTCACTGACAGGCTCAGAATGGTTTCACCTAGAGTTAATCCAGGCAGAGAAGCGAGTGGGGATGCCCACCTGGTCACACCTCCTTCAACCCACTCTCATCAGCCAGGACCACGCTGTTCCACAGTGGGAACATTCTGTGGTCGGAACCACTCTCCCTTTCCTCTACAGATCACCCTACAGCTGAGGGATGCTGCTGTCTGGGAGCTGCCCCCACCACCTCAACCAACCCAAACTGTTCTCCAGAACTGGTTTTTCAGTTCCCCCATTGCTTCTCTCCAAGCTTCATTTTTGCAACAACCACCAGAGGCAGCTCTTGGGTCACTGATGGAGGCATCGCTTTTAATTCAGCAAACATGAAGGATTGTGTGGTTGTTTTGAAAAGGCCAATACTAAAGTAAGTGGTATTGATAAACCCTCTTCCTTTCACTAAGAGCTACCATGCCCTGCTGGAAACACCTCCTAAGCAGGAGCTGACAGGATGAACTAGAGTCACTGTGTGCTCCACTGGGGAGTGCTGGCTGCACTTTGGCCTGGCCAGCGGCAACAAGTCTGTGGACAAAACCAAGAGCATTTTATTGAGAAGCCAAGGGGGGGAAGAAAATCAACACAAAAATCAACAGCGGGGGCACTGCCTGAGAACCTGCAGCAGGAGTGGCAACAGCTCTGCTCTATGGGACAGCCTCGAGGAGCGAGTTTGCTTGTTTCCTCTGGGGCACAGCCAGAACAGCAGAACTCAGAGAAGCAGCAGAAGAGAGAGAAGTTAAGAAGCAATTCAGCAGGGATTAAGAAAATCCAGACTGTCCTGGCACTCGGCTCTGTTGCTGAGCTTACCAGTGACCTGCCTCTGGCTAATGGCAAGGAGAGACAAAGCTTCTGCTTTGGAACCATGAAGGGGCAGCACTTATTTAGACAGGATCCTCCTTGCAGCCTTAAATGTTAAATAATGAAACAGAAAACGCATTTTCAGACTCTGCTGTGATGCTCTGAAAGAACTTCCTCCATCTTCTTTCTACAGGAGGGATCTAGGGAGAAGGCACCCCTATGGAGCTACTGGAGCAGCACCAGCTTATTTCTATGCTGAAATACCCTCACTTCCTCACACTGGGGCACCCCCGAAGACTTGCTCAACTGCCTTGCTGCTGGCAGGTAAAAATTCCCCTTCCACACGCCCCAAGCTGTGACTTGCATATAGGACACATGGATGTAGAAGAATATATACATTCAGAGGGGGAAAAACCAGCCAGCATGCAAAAGAGCGTGTTCAGAACCCATTCCTTACAAGCCACAACACAGCTGCTAATCTTAAAAGCATTTTCTCCAGTGGTTTCTTTCCGAGTGTATGTTCCCATGTAAAAAAAAAAGGTCCTGATGGAAACACGTGTGGCCACACAGGGGATACTCAGCCACAGGAGTTTCCCTGCTGCAGGAAGCACTTGTATTTCCCTCTCTCCCCCCTTGCCTTGTCCCCCAGCTCTACCTGGTACTGCTGACTGAAGGGCTCTACCTGGAGGCTCTGTCTATGGTACACCCCAGAGAAAGAACCGAGTTAAAGAGTGTTCAAATCGCAGCTTTGATCAGTCAAAAGGCAATTCACCAGCTATTGAAAAACTCTGAACTGAATGAAACTGCAAACAAGATGAGACATTGGTAATGCATGAGGCACACACAGGTACAGTGAGACAACTATGGGTCAGTAATGGAGAGACTCAACTCAAACAAACACAAGAAGCAAGGCCTGTGGAAGCACAGAGTCCCTTACTTGAGGGGAGCTGCCAGGAGAGAAGCCTTGATTGGAGACAGGAGAGGTGGGAGACTGGTTGGCTGGGGATCCAGCATTACTGCGGTACTGCTGGAGTGAAGCCTACAGAACAACACAGAATTAAAGACCATGGGATTGATGGAAGCTGGGAAAATTAACAACTTTTGGCGTAGAGAGCCCGAGGAAGCCGGGAGAAACCATCCTCTGGAGGAGTTCTTGGCTATGTGTGAAGACAGGATTACTGTGAGCGATGCAGAGGCAGGGGATCAGCGTGGCAGGGCCTGGCTGGAGCAGGGAGTGCTGCTGCATGAGCAGAACTGATGGAGTATTTCCTCCCTGGCCTCAGTCATCCTTAATTTTTAAAAAATCCCAATCTGGGCAGCCAATTTAAGGAAATTCAGGGAAAAGAAGCCCTGAAAGCTGGGAATAACTCAAAAATCCCATCATTTATTCTCCAATTCAATCTGCCATAACCACACGTCCCTGACCTGTGCTTAGATCTCGGGAAGCCCTTCTGCTATTCCTCTGCCTGCTCTCAAAGAGCCTCATCAAAATGAAAGTTACATCCATGCAGACTGGAATCCTCAAAGCTGCCTTTTACCCCAGGACACAGAGCAGACACTGTCTGAGAATCTCCACTCCATTCTGCAGCTTTGTATTAGTGACATTTACATTGTTCCCTGTCATTCTGAGAAGACATCTGCAAGGATTTACCTTTTTTGGGGTCATAAAGAACCCAGGTTTGAACAAATTAATCATCTTCATGGCATTTAAATAGGAAGTCGCAGTAATTAAAGAGTAAGTGCAGCTCTTCTCATCATACCTCCTTCAGAAATTAACAGATGATTGAGGAGAACCTGCAACCCAGTAGCTGTAAGCAAAGTACTTTAACCACGAGAACACTGTACTACTGATGCTTCCTGACACCGAATTCTGTGAAGCTCATGAAAATACATCTGACCCTTTCTGTTACGTGTTGCTACTCACACTCTTTAAACAGTGAGTAACCAAACTACAGCAAAAGGAACTTCAATACCACTCCACAAAAACTGCACTGAAGTTGTCAGCGAGACCATAGCACAGCTCCAACAGCTTTCTGGATAAACTAGCTTCAAAATTCAGCTTATTTACAAATGATTTCAGTTGCTTGGAAAGATAAGCACAGCACCCTAAAAGTTAAGGCCATAAAGAAGTTTAGGATGAGGAAAGCAACACAGAAAGCAAAGAATGAAAATCAGAATCATCTCTAGCTACGTGAGTATTAGAATCAAAGCACTGGGGCACATTCTGAGCAGGCTGGTATCCTTTCCAGTGCTGGATTCGTCCTTCCCTCTTCCCCTTTCAGTCCTGAAAGGGAAGCAGCTTCATTCAAGAACCACTTATCAGCACTCAGCCACAAATGAAATCCCCGATCAAGTGCTATCAATATCAATAGACAATGATTTCTTCCCATCCTCAAGCCAGTTACTGTCACTATGACACTGGCAGGAGGACACAACAGGTCAGACCACTGAGATCCTACCTAGTGGGGTGGAATGAGCAGAGAACAAGCTGTGAAACCCTTCCCTTGCTCCCCAGGTCTCTGCAGTTTGGATCTGCAGATGCTGAAACAGAACATTCCATAATAGACCATGTTAAAACAAGCAAGAAATGTGCCCATAAATCCCCAGGGGGTGTATACACACACTCCAGTTCTCCTGCGCATCTGAAGGCAGGCACATACTCAGGTTTTGGATAATAATGTATGCTCTAAAATTCCTTAAAAATAGAGTTCTAAACGTAGAAAATAGAGAAAATATCTGGTTCTCTCCAACTCTGGAAAAATGCTTGTTAGCACTTTGCTTTCTTTACTCTTAGCTCTAACTCCTTCAGCCTACTGCACACTGTGGAGCCTACAAGATGCTGGGCGCACATTACGTTTAACACCCTGGAACGTATCAAGGCAGCAGCAGCAGGAAGGTATGAAACCAATCCTGATCTATTTAATCTGCTCTAATCAAACACGGACACCATTTTATGAACACCTGGCCACCTTAAGCACACATTAAACCCGAGTTTTTCTCTGTAAAACATTAAAATGTGGATTCCACCAAACCCATTTTAAGTCTACTTCATTCTCTGCCTCAAAGGACAGTTACAGAAGGGTCTGCCCAGCCAGATCTCTGGCTTTAGGCTGTACACTGTTGGGTTTTCCACAAGAAAGCTGTGCTGGATGAAGCGTTCTGGGATGCAGCCAAGCTTACCGAGTTGATGTCTATTCCCATGGATGGCTGGGTCTGGCTACCCGGAGGTGACTGTGGGATGGTAGAAGGTACCGTGACAGAGAGCGGGGGGAGCTGTGCTCCTCGCTGTAAGCCAGAGGTCTGCATTAAAGGAGTGTTCTGAGGCAGGGTACTTGCCACCTGCGTCTGCTGCTGTTGCTGGGAAGTTGTCTGGGTAAAAAATGGATATGGGGGAAGCTGCTGCTCCAGAGACAATGCATCCATAGCCACGGCCTTGAAAAGAAGAACCAAAGTAATTCACGCTGACACATGATTCCCCTTCACTTTCCCGCACATCAACTTTCACTCTAAGAGAAATGCACTAAATCAATCTCACCTTGCATTTAAAAAATGTTACCTAAAGGTTCAGAAACAGTCCAGAACATGTTTCAAAAGACTTCAGATCACCTCCAGTGTACAATAAACAAATTCAACTAGGCTTAAAGCCCAGCTGAACGTCCAGGTCAGAATCTGATAATCCCATCAGTCACAGAGTCACACTCAGGAAATCAGTTTCAAAAGCCATTTGAGCTTCACTCATGAATTAAGAGAAATGTCTATCAAAATCTCACCACTAACTTTGGGACAGTCGCATTAAAGTGTCCCCAGAGATGGTTTCTGCCACAGTTCTCGAAAGCAGAAGTAAAATCTGTCCCCTCTCCAAACCTCCCCCTTTATAAGGCTCTGAATTTATGAACACAGAAGAAAACAACAGAAGAGGGAGGAAGTTCCAGCCTCAGAGCCAGCTTCCCCCTGGGTACAGAAACACAATCAACCTGTGCTTGGAAACATGGAATTCTCCAAGTAAGTTCCTACCTGAGTGATGGGTGACAGAGGGGACAGTGTAGGAGACATCTGCTGCGACTGCGGCCGCCGGGAGTCGGCGCTCAGGGAGAGGGGGCTGACAGCGGCCGGGCGGTGCTGCGGGGCCGGAGCCGGCGGTGACATTCCTGCCAGGAAGGGACAGGAACAGAGCAAGGGTTTATTGACACCTGCGTGGAGGTAATCCCAAAGTGACCAGAAGTGAACGGCCTGAGCAGACACCAGCTTAACGCAAAGCACTGGATGCACCTCAGCCAATGGGGCTGGAACACATTAGCTCATTGCAATTGATTCTGTCAGGGTGAAGAGCATCAGGATGAGAGGAAGATCCCTGTGGTTTACCCTGGACCCAAACCAGTCACTGTTCTTCAGGTTCATGCACAGACACAGGCTTGAAATGGCAACAGACAAAGCAGCTTCAGTGGTTTACAGAATCCATCGGGATTGCTCTCCCACGCCTCCCGGGCTGCAGGCACTGATCCCAGGAAAAGCACCCTCTGCTCTATTTGTAAGGGCTCCAACTTCAGGAAGAAGGTAACAGATCGCATAACAAGACTAATCAGAGGGCACTTGAGAGATTCTAAAAGCAAACACCTATTTAATGGAAAAAGCAGCAGAAAAACTGGTTACACAGGAAGTACTCCATCCTCAGCACACAGGAAGGCAGGAAATATCCTTCACACCCCAAAGAGCCACGACCTGGCAGGAGGTAGGGATCAACTCAAGTGGTGTAACGTTTAAATTCCAGACCAAAACGTGCAAGTTTTGAAACCTCCCCTCTTTTCTGCCTCACCCTGAAGGAACTGAGACACCTGCAAAGGGATTTCAGGCCAATCTAGTGAGCGAGCTGCTCCTCTGGAGCTGCCAGGAAGCAGCAATTCACAGGAGCCTGTGAGCTCCCAGGCACTTGGCAAACGTTCTGGGCTTCCAGGCAGGCTGCCAGGGAGCCAGGAAGCCCGGGCTGCCAAGGAGCCAGCAGGCAAACTGGCTCGAGCGGCGCGGATCCGGCAGGCTGCCTCCCTGCCATGTTTCCAAACCCAACCTGGCCCCACGGAACATGGCAGTGAACTCACAAGCTCAAAGGCACAAATGTGCTCCCAAAGGTCTTGGTAACCTCACAGGAGTTTGGTTCCCCAACTCCTCCTGGGGCAGGTCTGGGCAATGCACCTAGCTGCTGAAGGTCCCAAAGCCTTTGTGTTCTCTGCTCAAGAGCTAGAAATAAGAGAGGTGAGGAAGGTTTGAAAAAATCAGTTTGAAAAGCCCCCAACACTGACTATGCCAATGATTAAACTATGGGATGGTCTCCAAAGAGGCACAGGAAAATCATCAATGAGTGGAGCTTTTTCATTTGTGATGTCTTTGATAGATGTGGCAATGTTTTCAAGGCAATTATACACTTCCCAGGTCGGGTTTGAACCATTTACTCTGCTAATTATGGGCATGGCAAAACATTCAGCAACCCACCCTGGCCTGACTCCATGCAAGTAGCTTGTTTCTTTTTACACACACTATAGCTCTGCCCGAGCGTCTCTTTTGAGCCCAGAACACTTGGTAAGGGATGCTTAGAGCTGCTGTCTGGCTCCGTACTCAAATGGTTAAACCATCCTCTTGCTTCGTGCTCAAGTGCAACTGCTCAGTCAGAACCTAATGAGAATTATTTCCTCTTCCCAACATATGAGAGGGTTTATAAGTGGGTAAGGGAATCCTGCCTAACACAGGAAATCCACTTGTATTTTTGGATACAACGCCTCATTTCTAATCTAGGAATGATGCAACTGCCACTGACAATAACAATCCACAGCCCTCAAGATCCAGTGCAATCCTTTAAGAAATCACAATCCCCAGCGGAGGGTATTTGCATGTAAAGTCCTGAAACGATCAGGAGATCAGGCTGAACTTGATAGATTTCAGTTCTAACACAGAGGCTCCTCACTGAGAGCTGTGAGAGGTCAAGGGGTGCACTTGGCATTACTTCCCAAAGCCCCCCTGTATTATGCAGCCTGAATATTCAGGGTCTTTTCCAAACTTAAGCAGTCAAGCTTATAAAAACTAGCACACCTTGTGAAGGCTCCACGGTACTCCTGATTGCTCAGAAGAGGAAACTGGAGTCAACTGAAGCCAGCAACGCTCTCTCTCTAAAAGCATCCTCACACAGGGATGAAAACAAAAGGTCTACTCAAGATACTGCCAAAAGATGAAGGCTGCTGGGGTTAAGGGCAGTGAATTACAAGAGAGGCTGCTTTGGGTTCTAGTCTCTCCTCTAAGTCTTATACATAAAATAGACAAAACCCAAACAAAAAAGCAGACTTGGGCACCAAGAACATGAGAAAAATCAAAGACAACTTTTAAGTCACATAATCAAAACGCAGCTTTTGCACTAACCTTAGAGCAGCTCCCAGTGCCTGAAGGGGCCACAAGAAACCTGGAGAGGGGCTTTGGACAATGGATGTAGGGACAAGATAAGGGGAATGGCTTTAACCTGCCCGAGGGGAGACTGAGATGAGCTCTTAGGCAGAAGCTCTTCCCTGCGAGGGTGCTGAGGCGCTGGCACAGGGTGCCCAGAGAAGCTGTGGCTGCCCCATCCCTGGCAGTGCTCAAGGCCAGGTTGGACACAGGGGCTTGGAGCAAGCTGCTCCAGTGGAAGGGGTCCCTGCCTGTGGCAGGGGTTGGAGCTGGAGGAGCTTTAAGGTCCTCTCCAGCCCAAAGCAATCCACGATTCTATGATTACGGACAATGTGCAGAAGTGCCCCAGAGTTCCGCTCTTACCCTGACTGGCCGTGCTGATGCCCAAGTGAGTCAGATTGGCAGCAAGATTTCCGGTGCTATTGGAGCTACTCAGGGCTGGGAATGTGGATTCCTCAGGATCTAACGGTGTTGGGAGAGGGGAAGGGAAATGGATGTTTGTCAGGTCTGGCAGGGAGCCACCTGTGTTATGCGTAGCAGGAATCAGTGTTGTAGTGTTTTCCTGGTCAGCTGATGGAAAGATGCTAAATAAGGGAGAGAGAAAAAGAAAACAGGTCTCTGATTACAAGTCAGCCTGGACAAATCTTGTACAGTCTGTTTTGAAAAAGGAAGGTGGCACACACAAACTGTATATTGCACTATCTGTTGTATTATCTATTGTAGTGCATAGCCAGAGATTTAGGATCCAAGGGGTCACTCATAGAGGTTCTGGCTTGTCTCGCATCTATTGCGTTTGCACCATCCAAGGGCTTTTCAGAAAGCTCAGAAGCAGGAGGACATTCCATACGCAACATCCTTCCTTAGAGATTTCAATGCTCTTTAGAAAAAAAATAATTGCTCAAAACTTACTTGATTCCTGGAACTTCACATGATTTAGGTCTCGATGACCCAGTCTAAAACAGAAGGAAGACATGTTTAAAGGCAAAGATCCTGCTGGAAATCACTGCTTAGGATATACTCCAATTAGGAAGTTTTATTTAATACATTTCTACACGAGCTCTGTGAAACTCTTGGAGGAGCCTTGTCACCTTTTCTGCTTTACTGGCCCAACAAGGCTCAAATGTAGAGTTTCTCCTGGTATCATCAAACATGTGCACACACACATACATATGAAGTGCCTTTCTGAGCTAATGTTTAGTGATTTATTTCTAAATACAGCATTTAATCTCTAATCTCTGTAAGTACTTCATTTCAGTTGACAATATTTAGAGCATTCATTGAATTAATACAGTCAGAAAACAAAATGGGTACACTTTGGTGTGGGAGATTCCTACCTTTTTAGTGTCCCATCCTTGCTTAGAGAGGGTTTTGTCTGCCTCAGAGGGGGTCTCCTCCATTCCAGGGACAGTCAGTAATAAAACTAAAAAATAAGACCAACAGGGATTCTATCATATTAAGCTTCTCAGTAGGAAATGTTCAGGTTGGAAGTTTTAACCATTTGAGAACTCTGAAGTAAGTTATTAGCACTGAATGTGAAAGAGTGGCACTGCTGGGAGACCAGAACTGAAAATATGAACACCAGAAGAGACTAAAGTTGTATTTAACCAGCAAGGAGACATCACAGGCTTCAAAATACAACAAAGCAAATCACACTTCAAAAATGTTGGCCTCCAATTTAGTCTCTAAATGGAAGAGTGCGTCTCGGGACCTAGTTTTTCCTGTCTTTTGCATTTTGCCAAGTGATGTACACCTGATGTTTAATGGGTGGCCAACAGGACAAATTCCAATGGGGAAAAATCTGGACCATCTTCCCTAGGATAGAGAAATGCTATAAGGCTGTTCCTTCTCCATATTGACAGAACATGGGTTTGTTCAGAGCAAGCAACTGTTTCATCATGCTAATAGCAAGGTGACACAGAAACAGCAAAAGCAAGCCCAGTCAGAGAGATGCATCACCAGAAGCCTTTAAGAGTGATGATTCTAAATCCATATTTACACAAGACTGCTTAAGGTGATCACTATTTAATGTTTTACAGCTCTGGAAGCACAAGGAAGAGCTGCAGTACAGCTCATACACACCTGAGTGTTGGGTGTTCACCCAGCTCTGGGTGATTGTTTAAGGATTAAATTTCTCTGGGCAGATTTAAGAGCTTTGCATGTTTTTCTTGCGCTGACAGCAGGAACAAGGGCCAGCAGAGGGCACCCGAATTGTTAGTGCTGGAGGGTTACGCTGCTCCAGCTCCTAACTCCAAAGGGAGTCAGAGGACTGGCTGCAAGCATTGCCTCTGAGGGTGTATTCACTGATCACAATCCCAGAATAACAACTAGATGAAGTCTTGCTACTTCATGATATTTACCCCTGACCACGAAACGCCTGTGACCTCTACACTTTGTCAAGAAGTGACTCCAAACTGCAAACCTCTAGTACTGCTGACAGCAGCCTCACCTCCAGGGTCCCACAGCTCACATTACTTATCCCCACAGGGCAAGGTCTTGGAATCACAGAATACAGGGTTCAGGAAAATGTTCTGCCTTAGCTTTGCATGATCTTTTCTGGATCTCAGTACCCAGAAAAGTAAATGTGGCTCTTTGCTCCAGTTCTTGTGTATCTGAATCCAGCAGGCGTTACACATACGTGTCTTGACAGAAACAGGTGAACAGCAACACATGCGCATAAAATCTGAAGTACAACACTGTGCAAGCTACAGCTATTTCCTCTCTTTACCTCTTTTCTGCTGTATGTCCTGGGACCCTCCTGTGAAGGACTCTTGCTGAGCTGGAGTCATCGTGCTCTGGTGCAAGGCAGAATCGGAATTTGTCCTGGAAAGAAGGCCACAAAAATGAATTTTTATTGTCTCTAGAGAAAAGGAGGCTTCAATTCAGATAAATGTAACCAACTCAGGAAAACCTGAACACTCTGCATTAAAAAAACCCTACTCTATACATGGCACACACCAAGCACAATCTCCCCATGAAACCATCAATTCACAGAACAAATTCATTCAGGTTTGAAGAGCAATTGCTTCAACAATGGGATGGAGATTATCCACCATAGGATAAAGTGGTGGCAGTCACTACAGAATTATTTGATAACCTTTGTTAGGATAATGCACGATCAAATAATGCAATTTTGAAGCTGAAAACTGCTTAGAAATACTTTGGTTATGCCAGTCTTTGAAAACATCCCTGTTTCACAGGGAGGGGAAATGACTCAAACTCAAAGGCTTGCAAGGGCAGACTAACCCAGCTTCTGCGCAGGGAGAAACACCCAGGTCTTTGACAGCTCAGTTTTGGGGTATGCCCTGGAACACCCAGCAAGATTTGCCTTTGCAAAGATGCCATTAGCTGAAACACCTTCATTTGAAAGGCAGGGCATCTAAAACATTAAGCATAATAGAAGAAAAAAACAAATTCTAAATTCAGGAAGGCAAATTCAGATGGCAAAATGCTGTGGGGAGCAACCAAGGCTTCTGTTGGACGTGGTAGTGTTGTGGGATCAGAGAACACAGACAATTGTGCTACCAACCTTCTCCAGCTTGTGTCTGAGGGAGGTGACAGATACACAGTGCCATACGGACAGCTGTCCACGTGACTCCAGCAGTTAAGGGAAGAACAGCACTTGCTCACTCAAGAAGGAAGCCTATTTGAGATCTTTCCCTAAGGAATAATTCAAATGACCCTGTCAGAACCACTGCGCTCCCATGGGAAAGGCAAGCAGCCTCCTTATGGGGAGCAACCTGACTTTAAAAGGACACTCAAAACAAAGCATTATCTGGATTGCCGTAATGCCTGAGCCACAGGTCAACCTGTGCCAGCACCTCAGCACCCTCACAGGAAAGAACTTCTGCCTAAGATCTCATCTCAGCCTCTCTTCTGGCAGATTAAAGCCATTCCCCCTTGTCCTGTCCCTACAGGCCCTTGGCAAAACCTTCTAACCCTGCTGTAGAAAGCCACTAAATTTGTCAGGCACAATTTGCCCTTAGTGAAGCCATGTTGGCTGTCACCAATCACCCCAAGGATCTCAGTCCCCCTCAGCTTTGTGTGTATCCCCACTCAGAGCTGAGGAAACTGAGACAGGTAAATGCTTACTTCACAGAGCAGCATGTATTTATAGGCTAGATCACAGCTCAGCAAAAGCAGGTGACATTAACTGAGATGGGAAGCAACTCTGCTGACAGGTGAGGAGGGAGGAAGAAGGGAACTGTAAGAACTGGGAAGTGATGCTGTGGAAAGGGCGGGCGTCCCCGCCAGCTCCTGAGCCAAAGGATATTTGTCTTCCATGTTTATCCACGGAGAGCGGGCGGCGATGCGGGGAGCCGAGGCGGTTTCTGTCACGATACACTCTGTCCACCAGCCCGTGGTGCCGAGTTGTTCTGCTTGTGTCCAGCCCCGAGGACTGAAAAGGAGTCTGAGAGACACAAATGAAATTAGAAGCAGAAAACCACAGGCAGGAGCAGTCTGCCCCAGCCCCCAGCCATTTGTATGCAAGGCTGTGTTATTCTAAGGAATGAAACTCAAAAAGGATATGGGCAAGTGTAACCATGTACATGTTTCCTTCACTATCACTTTCATAATAGCCATGGAAAGCAATTACTAAGGCTCTCTCTTCCAGACAGAGATCAGAGACAAGTGGAGGCAGACCATGCTAGACCTGCCCTGGCATACATCAGCGCTGCTCTCCAGCCTTTGTAGCTCTGCAATACCACCGTGAGCGTGGCAGGAGCCTCCTGACAACTGCTGGGTCCATTCCCTTGGTGCAGCATGCAGCATGCATCCAGAAGGAACATGCTGACAACCAGAGCTTCAACTACAAGGGCAGGAGATGCAGGAAGGAGATGCACAGTGAGCCTAACGTTCACCAGAACACGCCACGTTCTCTCAGAGCCTCCTTTCACCCCTCCTCTCAGTGTGATTATTTTAAGGGGACACTGATAGAATTAAAAGAAAAGCAGTTTCCTTCCTCCTCTGTCTAGAAAAACTTAGAGCATCCAGTAAGTGATTTTCATCTTGCTCAGGCTGCACCTGGGTGGGTTGATTCCACTTTGAGCCCTGTCACTGCCATTATCTGGAGAGCACTCACTTGTCAGTAAGTGAATGCAGAGCATGAGGACAGCAGAGGAGGGACAGGGAAGATGAATTCCCAGACAAAACTGGAAAACTCCTGTGTTTTCAAAAGCCCTTCCCAGTGAATACCTGTGGGGCAGGAAAGGAAGTACCAAATGGTCCCACTCCAACAGCAATATATGGGTCTCCGGGGGAAAAAAGGCTCCACAGCCTTCCAGTGCTTGCCAATGTGAACAGCTTTGCTGAGTCCCTCAACACCATCTGTTTGGAAATCCAAATTTTCCTCCTCCATTCAGGTGCTGCACGTGGCAAATGCACTGTCCTGTCTGCCAAGCCACAGAACCATCTGGCTCCCATGTCAAGCTTTTGTCTCTGCTGCTTTTCTTCTCTCCCAAGTGTCCGGTTTGGGCTGTTTCACTGAGGATTTCTAACAAGTTTCACAGTTCTTTTTCAATGTTTGGTTTGTAAGAACTTTCTAAAGTCCTTCTACTATTTAAAACTCTTCTCTAGTCAGCAAATATTAGTCTCCTCTCCCTCTAGGCACACACAGCCTGGGTTAATACCAACGGATGCAAAGAGGCTGCGGTGTTTATTTGCTCGTTTCAGGGCCAAAACTTTATATGCAGCAGAATACTGCTTAAGTCAACATGGGGCTAGGAAGGGAGCGCAGTGACTTTTTACTGTTCTCTCAGCCATTAAGATCACGGTGTTTTGCTCCAGTTCCTTAGCAAGTCTGACTTCCTTGTCTGCTGACTTAGAAACCTCAAGTCGCAGCATCTCAATTTTAAGTCATTTAAATTAGAACATCTTGGTTTAATCTCTGCTGCAAACACTGAACAACAATCTGGTTTTACCTAACTGGCACCACACAGAACTGGGCATATTCGTAGCTCCAAAGCAACAACAAAAGGTCTCAAACTCTTCCTTGTCCTGCTGTTGCATCAATTCTACCCCAAAAGGCAGCAAAATCTGCAAACACATGCGTGCTTGGAAGGTCAACAGGAAAAGCAATTTCCTCTGCCAGTGGTCTCAACCACAGCGCTGCTAAAAAGGGAGAAGCCAGTCTGGAGCATAGAGAATGCAGAGCTCACCTGGAATTTCAAAGGAAGGCAATGCATGTGAGTGTACAGACAAAGAGCTGAACGCAAACAGTTATTTCTTAAGTTTTCACCTTTTTGGTACAATTTCTGTATTAAAGCCACAACAAAAATCCAATGTGAGTGCAACAGGGGCACAAGTAAACAGGGACCAAGCCCCATCACAGGGCAACAACTTCCAGAGCAAGGAATCTGGGGGTAATGCTGTTCTCTGGCTTCCCAGGAACAAAGATCCCAAGTGAATCCCTGACTTGCTTATGGAAATCAGAAAAGAACAAACACTTGAGACAACGGCAATCACCTCCAGCAACCATCCCCGGAAACCTCCTCTGGAGCAGAGACCAGGCAAGGCACCTTCACTGCAATCCCCATCCCCACAGGGCACCTGGTACTTCATTAGAGTAAAAAGCTGTGATTTTGAAAGCAGAGCAGATCTGAGCATGGATTTGGATGCTCAGAGTCTTCATTTGGAAAATTAAGAATTTGAACTGTGTCACATCCCTGAGAGACATTCAAGGATTTGAGATCACAACTAAAACTCCACAAAACACTGAAAAATAAAGAGAAAAAGAGAGACAGGAAGGAAAAAGCTCTGAAGCAACAGTGTCCCTTTAAGATTTATCAAGACATTTACTTCTGAAGTAAAAACGAGTGAGGTGGCTGAGGGGGAAGGAGGGGAGTGGTACCTGCTGCCAGTTCACATCTCAGTGCCTCCTGGTGACAAGCAGCATTGGGTCATCATTCTGCCTTTCCCAATGGAGCTCAGCATGCAGGCTAAGAGCACATGCTTGGAGATTGCTTAAACCACAGGCCAAGACAGTGCAAATAAACCACCGTCTGCATCAAATGAATCCCCCATACACCAGAAGTAACCACATGACAGACCACAGCAAGTCCAGGGAATCTGTACAGAGCTTCTTATGCATGTTCCAAACTGGGATGCATGGCAAAACCTGTATTTATGTGACAGACCAGGCCTCCTTTGGAGCTGGGAGGGTGAATCAAATAAATACTGTGCATAGCAAAGTGTAACGGGTGCTCCAATACGTATCTGCCTGGGCAAAAGCACTCCAGTCCCAGATACGTATCTGCACAAACCTAAGTGCTTGTTTACCAAAGAGACAGGAACTGCTCCAAAGGCTTCTGCCACAGCTCCGTTGTGCTGTAAATGCAAAGAACCAACATTCTCAGACACTAACACTCCACCAGAGGCAACCAGACAGGCTTCCCCTGCTCCAACAAGTATCTGCTGGCAATTTCATCCTATTTCAGCTTGAAACTGAAAAACCTGGCCAGATTCGGCCCTCATTCAGCGACATGGGTTCATGTTTTCACTTGTCACCACTGTTACCTGTAACAGGATCACCTCTGGGTATTCTCTGGGGGATGTGCATGAAAACTGTGCAAACCCTGGAGTTTAAGGACAAGCTGCTTCCGTCTCGTCCTTCAGTCACTTCGTAAGTGTTTAAATATTCACTCCCAAGCCCCCTGTTAGTTCCAGGGCTAAAGGAATCTATAGAACAACTGTCATTAACACCCATCAGGCACAGGAATACTGAAATGCTGTTGCTTGAAAAGAACAGGAACCATGAACCTCCTTCCCAAGAAACTAAAGACAAAACCTTGAAGAGCTCAGCCCCTTGTGGAGTCAGACCCAGGACTCTGTGACATTACAAACCCTGCACTGTGCTCCCTGAAGGCAACCAGATTAAAATAGCCATTTGGTTCTCCTCCTGCACAAGACTCCAGCTTTTAACCTCCACCAATTCAGCTGCCTACATGGATTTCAAAAGGCAGTTAGAGGACGTCATCTATTTCTCTGTATTTATTAATACAGTCTTCAGCAGAAACCCACAAACTGCAACGCTTTATTCCTGCCACATCCTTATCAGGGGAAATGTAAATGTTACTACTCAAAAAAAGAGAACTAATGCAGAAACTTTAATTATTATGAGTACTCGAAATCAAATGACTATAGAAATCAGGAGTCCCAAAAGCATCCATCACCTAATCCTAACCCCTCTACATCATCTTCTGTCCAAACATGCTTACTAACAGCAAAGCATTCACAGGAAACACTGACGTTCTCTCTGTGGTGCATTACCTCTGGAGTCACAACAGCAGGGGAAAGTAAAGCCAGTACTTCCCTGCATCTACTTTTCAGCCAGCCCAAAGAAAACGGACTATTCTGATACCTGCCAGTGTCCCATTCCCATTCTCCTCTCCCAAAATCCATGCATTGCTTCCATGGAACATGCACCCCACCTGGGGGGCACCTTCTTCCACGCCCCTACTGTGCTTTCCACATCACCTGGCATTATTTGCTTCCGTCTCCTAGGTGAGGCAAAAATAGATCCAGACACAGCACTAACCAACACAAAGAAAGAAACACCCTATGCAAAGAAAGCAACTCACCTGGAAGGGGAGATCCATGGCACTGTTCCCAATCTGATTCACATTTGGCAGTGACCCACCATAGTACTGGCCACGACTCTGTCCCAGTTGCAAATACTGGGTTTTCTGCAGCTGTAACTAAAAGAAGAGAAGGAAAGTGTAAGGGGAACTCAATTTATTTTTCAGCTGGTTTAAGTGACTCAACTCGACAGCATGTCCGTTACCACCGAGAGCGGACACCATCTATAAACAGCATGAACTCAGCTTCAGCGAGTGAATGTCAACCTCCTCTGCAAAGCCCAGCTGGCAAACTGCCACCTCAGGTCTTGTGTGATAGTGTGAAGAGATGGGTGATAAAGCAACTTCATAGTCAGCAATCATATTTCATTTCCAACAAATAACCACCACGGGAAACCACATGGTTGTGTGTCACCTGCCCTCCTGAAAGCCAGGGTGTAAGAAACCGTCTCAGTCTGATCATGGCTCTAACATCAAAGGGAACCAGCTGCTGATGTGTGTGAGACACAAATCAAAGTCATCTTCATTTAGGGTATTGAGGATACTGTTCAATGAAACACTCAACCTTCTAGCAATCCAGGTGATGGAGATGTTACAGCAAGTTGCAGCTTTCCACCATTAGGTAAGAGTTCTGGCTTCTTGCACCAGGAAAAGCCCTGGAGGAAGGGCAGAGACACAGGATTTCAAAGACAACCCAACCAACCAAAGAAAATCAGCAAAGAATTCCTTACTGACCAGGTGTACAGGAAACTAAAAGTGACACTGCAAAGGTTCTGTTAGTGCCAGGGATCACTCTTCAGTGCTGAATGAACCTCGCCACTAGAATATTCCAGTAAGCGATCCCATAGTTGTACACGTTGCTGGTGTCCAAGGTATGCAAGAGAGAGCTGCTGTTTCTACTCCAATGTCAACTCATTTTCCTTGTCACTTCTTTCGGAAGGCTGCAGAGCTCAACAGCTCTTTAGTGAGCTGCAGGTTTTGATTCATCTCTTGTCAGTGGCCTCTCTCTGGTTTTTAGTTTAGTAGCACCAATATTTAAAACCATTTCTCATTCAGGTCTGTTGTTCTCACTCATCACATCTAGATTTAACACCATGTTGGCACCAAAGCCCTACTGATAAAGCAGAACTTGCAACCATCTGAACCCAAGAGCCCTGCTCCCAAGGATGCATTTTCAAGGACTCAGGAGACTACACTTAAAGTAGCAAAGAAACAAGCTTACATAAGGCCCTCTCCTCCCACTGTGGAGGAGTACGTATTTTATAATGTATGTTGTTCCTCACTAGATGTCAACTGGCTGTTTTTGCACTCTGAAATACAAGAACATTCCTAGATTGGTAGCAAAGAATTGTTTAAAGACTAAATGTTCAGATCTTGGACTAGCTGCAGGTTGGTTGCTAAGGTACTGTTGTGTGTACATCAACAAATCTGCTTTAGTTTCATTCAAGTCGACGCGAAGCCTTTCCCTCGCAATGCCAGGATTTTGAAGAGCAAAGTTGGGAAAAGCACTAGAAAAAGCAGGATCCCCCCAAATGGGTGTCTATTTACATAGCTGGGGTTTCTTTTCTTCACACTTTCTTCAAGCAAAGGAAATGGCAGGATGGAAAGGAGTGGCCCTGCCTCTACAGCTTTACCACAAAGGCCCTGAGGTTGAGTGAGGATGTTTGTAGCGAAGGGAAGGAAGAGCTGGTGCTTTCCGTGTTGACAATGAGTCCTCTGATAAGCCACGCAGAGATGCTGAGCAGTGCTGACAGTGAAGATACCACACTGCACACTGATAGCACCGAGACAGCACGGAGAAAAGGGACTGGTTTGCCTAGATCATGCCAACACTTAGGATTAAGACAGTCCTTGAAGAGAGGAGGAGAAAACAAGATCACCCTGAATATTCTTTAAAAGCTATCCCTAGGAAAGCAACTCAAATACCTTTCATTCACAGAACCTCCCCTGGAAGCCACCAATTTCCAAACATACACACAGCTGAGGGACCGAATGAAGCCAAAACTCACAACACAACTCTTGGAGATGACACCTCTCAGGGGAAGGGGCGCGCTCAGGAGCCTCAGCTATTCAGGCAAGATCCCACTCACAAAGTGGCTCATGGGGTTTTGTCTTAACAAAAGGGCCCAAAGACAGAAACCATTCACAGTGTGCTGTACAAAACGCTTCAGAGACTCCACCTGGAAAGCAGGAACTCCCCCTGCTTTGCTTGTGCCATCTTTTGACACGCAATCACAACCCAGCAATAGATGGGACGAGGGAAAGGCTCCGTGCTGGTGTCACTGCGTGAGTCACAGCCCCTCGAACTCTGAGCTGCAGATCCTCAAAAGCACAACATCAGAACTAGCTGTGCTTTTCGCCTGGCCCCTACATATGGTTTTGTTGTTAAAAAAAGGCTTGCTTGGGATTTGTGCCAAACCTTGAAGTAACTATTTCAACAGGTGTTGGGTTCTTTTAAAGAACCTACTATAAGGCACCCGGGAGGGGGTGTTGCTTTATGGTTTTTTAATGCTTTGGCCTTCCCCAGCCTATACCTACCTCAAAGCATAAAGTAACAAGGGAGGTCACGACCATTTGTCTTTCCACTGCAGTTAAACCATGGGAATGAGGAAACGCATGAGATTGAGAACTACAGCACTTCTCAGAACCGGGCTCACTGAGCGCCTTCGCTCCATCATCAATTTTAGGAACATTACCTTCGATAAACACTTCTGGAGACCCGCGCCAAAAAGAACAAAACTGATTGCTTGTTACTGCTCTCATGTATCATGACACCAGCATGTAGATCTGTATTTGCTCCTCTCTTCAGCCTTTGAACAGTGAGTGGCCCCCAGACTACACAGTTTATTGGAGACCATCAGCAACTGCCACTTGCAATCTGTGAAGATCAAGTGCAAGCAGAGCAGCCCAGCTTGGGAGGACCTCACATCTCCACCTCTGCAGCCAGCAAGAAAGCATTTGGAAATACTGTGATGTTAAGATACTACTGTCCTTCCAAGGAAAATCAGCTCATGTTTTTCAATGCGGAGGATCAGCAAAAACAACCTGCAAATTCCACTGTCATGCTTTGAGGTAACTCAGGAGTCTCGAGTCTTACTAAGGAGACCTATGCACAAAGAAAGGCAGCACTGAAAATGAGACATTAGTTGTGACTAAAATGAACACTTCTGCTTCTTCCTGTACCTTGTGAGGTGCATGAAGTACACTGCACAATCTGGGGCTTGGGGTTGGGTTTGAAGAGGGGGATTGTGGGGTTTTATTTTAGAAGAAATAAAAAGGAAGAAGCCTTTTCTTAATAGAAAAAATTCAGATTACTCTTCAAATGTTAACAAGTCTCATGACAACTCCAGCTTCATCTCCTGGGCTTACACTCAATTAGTGGCAACTTGCTTTCTATATGAATTCAGAGAGTGAAGTATGATAATGAATTACTTAGTGCTCATCAGATACATTAATTTCTTGAACCACGAGAACTTAGTGACTCCACATTACAGCTTCTCCACTTATGTATTATGTGGCCAAGATAACAGCTCCTTGACAGCTGAAAATACTGGTAAATATCCCAGGTCTTTCCTGAGAAAGCTTTTGATAAAGGAAAAGCTTTTGCTTCTTAAACCATTTAGTTCCTGCTTGGCATTCTTGTTCAGATGTGTTTCCCAAATGACAGATCCTAACTGAATCGGTAATTTCCCCTCCACCAGCACGTCTCTTCTGCTACTTAAACAAGATATCTTAAGCTGAAGTCCAATGTAAGCATTAAAAGGCACATCGTTCTGCACAAGCAGTTGTCTGGAATAGCTGGAAATGTTCTCCTATTGAAAGGCTGACACACTGTCGGCTCACCAGATTTGGCGTCACAATAAAACCAAGAGATCTCTGCAAAGGTGCAGGAGCAACAATATGCAAACAGCAGCAGCATCTTCACAGCAGCAGGAAGGGACTCATCACCTTCCCATGTAGCAATCAGGAATTTTGCAAGCAATTACATCCTAACCTCAGCTCACAGCGGAGTGACACGACAGCACCTTACTGGGGTGAACGGAACTGGGCACACAGCTGGTTGAGAATCAACACTATCAGATCTACCACAAGCATTTATATGAACGACCTGAACCATTCTATTTAGATTAGGGTTAAAGTTTGCTGGATAAAGTTGTGTTTGTAAGGAGAGAGTCAAGTTATACAATTAAAAATGGTAATATTAAAGGAGAGAAACATAGCCCTAAAAGGACATCCAGCTTTCCTACAGACATCCCAAGTGTCCAGAGCATGCAGATGGGAATCAAAGGAAGCATTTATTAAAATCCAACATTTCAACTTCTCTAAATTCTTCCCCCCAAAAATCCGGGGCAATTACAAACTTCTGGACAGCGCTTCACTGCAACCGAGCGGCAAACCCGACACCGGAATTCAGCCCCAATCCCCCAGAATCCTTCCTGTCAAAATGCCCTTTTTTAATACAGAAGAATCTGATTCCCATAACTAATAAAAGGGTGGAGTGTCCGTTTGATAAAACCCCCGAGAGATCTGATGAATACAGGAAGTAAGATTTCACGATAAGTGCTCTGCTGCCGCTTGCAGTTTTCATCTCAAGCCTTCTTATGAATTGCAGCTTTGCACTTCAGAAAGCTCTCTCCTGCATGCTCAGGCCGATCAGCACAAAAACAAGTGTAGATTAAAATGAAAAATGCAGTATTAAAGCTTAATTGCAAATTAAATTCTGTTTAAAGGATTAACTGGAAGTTTTAGAGGCTGCATTAGTTAAATCCTGTTGGTTCAAATCAGTTCAAAGCCTCCCGTTGGTCACGTCTGAAGTTTCTCAGGAAGCCTTTCTCCTGAAGCACCCAGAGGCAGGACCCACCACAGGAAAGGACAGACAGTTGTCCAGAGGTCTTAAACTGAGTGGGATTCATCCGGCATCCTCAGGAACACGTCGCTGCTATTTTGTGATCTCCCCCTAGGAATGAACTCACCACCCAGCTCCTGGTAGCAAGGTCTCTGAAAAGGCACTGATATCACTATTTTTGGCCTCTACAGTAAAGCCAACGACAGACAGTAGGGACCAAGTGCCCTTTTATCCTCAGAACTGGACTTCCTAAGTTACGCAGGTAGGGCAGCGA